GTACTTTACTTTTCCATTTTCCACTACCGTATACTTCTAACTTCTGAAGCAAATACTGTACCTATTACCTCCATGGATTTTAAAGCTTCATAATTACAAAATATAATTAACTGATGAATTATGATGTATTATTATATATTAAACTACCCATCAGTGATACAGTAATAAAGATGATCTCTACCTTTACCACCTATATTTATACAATAATATAATATATCTTTTTTTGAAATGGACCATTCTGCATAATGAGTTTTACTTTTGATACTTTAAGTACATTTTGATTGTAATACTTTTGTACTTTTACTTCAGTAAGATTTTTAATGCAGTACTTTTAACAGATTATTTCTTCTTATTTGACATTTTATTCTTCATATACGTTGAACTGTATATTTTTACATGTTCAGCTCAGCTGACCTGCTGACGTTGTGACTAAAACAAATCATTTCTCTTTTCACTTTTCAGGAAATTATTAGAAAATTATCAAAAATAGATATGTCTTCCATGTTAGTCTAATATTCACTCCCCTTTTAGCTCTTTTATTTGATATAGATTTAGTTGATTTTACTCTAAATATAATAAATGCATTGACAGGTGGAGGAGTTAACCTGATGGTGCTGAATGTAAAGAAACCTCATTAATCTCAATAAAGAATAACTTCCACAGATCTGATGTTTGTCTGTCTCTCAGGACTTCTGCTTGATTGCCTGCTGATGCAGGAAACACCAGGGTGTGTGTGCGTGTGTGCGTGTGTGTGCGTGTGTGTGTGTGCGTACAAAAAATGTATTGAAAAAAACCAGACTCCATCTTAAGGTCAAAAGGACAAAAATAATCCATGAATATTAAGTTTATCAGTTCTCTTATTGGTCACGGATACATTTTCATTCTGACTAAAAAACTAAAAAACATATTTATCATCGCTTTATCACTTTGACTCTTCATGACTTTTAAATATTTTAAGAGATTTGCTCATATTCCCGATTTAAACGGATGACATGTTTCAGAAAAATGGCTCTTTAATTCAGTTTGACTGTTGGACTTTGACTTATTTTACAACACGAGGGGGCAAAAAGAAATTTAAGTTGTAAGTTAATATATATGCTTATATACATATATATATATATATATATATATATATATATGTACGTATGTAAATACACAGAAAATGGATGGAGAAATGGATAGAAAGTTCTAATAAAGTTCTTTATTAATTATTAACATATAATTATCTGGTGTAGAAAATATGCTTTGTGCATACATGGTTTTAATTAGGTCAGAGGAAAAGAAACAAGGTAGTAAACATGTTGATTTAGTAATGATCCTCATTATTATTTAACTGCAGCAGGAAGAACAATGACACACACCACGAGGAAGTGAAGCAAATGTCTATAAATCAAAAGGGAATTAATTAATGTTTTTTTCATTAGATGTCATAGAGATTCTTTAAACTGTATTTCCATTTTTTAATTTCCAGTCCAGACTTCACACAAGGCAATCATGAGACGTAGCTGCTGTGGTCGGCTCAATCAGAAGAGATGAAGTATGCCGTCAAGCCTGCTGCTTCTATGTCAGCTGTCAATCAAGCCGAAGTCCTGTGTGTGTGTCCGTGTCTGTGTGTGTGTGTGTGTGCGTGTGTGTGTGTGTTCCTAACCAAACAACAGCTCAAGAGAGGGAGAAAACATTTAATGTAGAAAGACTTCGATTTAAAGTTGAATTATGACCAGGTTTACGTTAAAATCAGTGGTGGCTATAACTGTGTACTTTACCTGGTGAAATCAAAAATGGTTTCTTGGCTTCTATTCATCCTTTTTCCTCCTCTGCAGTTAGAGTCCATCAGTCTTTTCTTTGTCAGTATTTTTCTCTGAAGATATTGTTGTCTTGTTCTTAAAGGTGCTGCAGTTCAGCTGGGGAGGAGAGTTGTTAGTGCTAATGAGAGCTTCTTGACAACAGCGCGGAGACCATACAATAAAAGAAAACCTTCAAAACATGTGTGAACACGTATGGACAAAAAAGCCTCATTTTTTAAATAGTGAAAATAGTGAGAAATGCCGTCACAATTACCCAGAGCCCAAAGTGACACCTTCACAACATTTGCTTTCTCCAGCAAGAGTATAACTTTTTGACAAAATATTATATTTTATAAACTTTTCATATGTTTTATGTGCAAAAATCTAGTTGTAAAGTAGCTAAAGCAGTCAGATAAATAAAGTGAAAAAGTAGAACGCAGCATGAAAAGAAAATACTCAAGTATAGTACAAGTACTTCACATTTGTAATTAAGTACAGTATCAGATTTTCTCTCAGTGGTGGAATGTGAAGTACATTAACTCGAGAATTGTTGTCATTTTATACTTGAATTCTCATGCTCAAATGTTGTAGCCTTTTTACGACTTTAAATACTACAGTACCCATCAGCCTCAGCGGCTGCAACGACAGAGAAAACTTCATTGTTCCATTCAGGAACAAAACTCAGCATCAAAGCCGCAAAAAAGGTCCCAACACTCATGCAAAAATAAAAATATAATACATTAAAATGAACTTCTGCCGCAAACAGCTGAGAGTCTGAAGCTCTCTGATTGGATACGTCTTACAGCAATGCAATCTGGGACTTGTAGTGAACCAAAGTTTTATGACCACAGTATTGTTCTTCTGGCTTTCGATCATTAAAGCAGGATATATTCAGCTCAGCATGTCATAGTTTACATCTGACACATGAAACAGACAGATATTGTCTGATATCATATTTATGACTATTATTTGGGCCTCGGAGGGGTTTGATGCTTTGATGCAGTCACGACCCAAATCTCACATCGTTGCGTAATGTTAATTTGCTAAAAGTGCGACGGGTTCAGCGACGCTAACCTTGTGTTCTGTATCAAACTGGGTCATTGTGGTGACTCAATGCTTCATCCATTATGGGCCAATACGTTTCACAGCACACAATGTTCAGGTGCTAGTGGGACGCTGACAACATGACCTTCAGTGTGTCTTCACATCATTTACTCAGAACGGGCTGAATGCTTGGCCGGTGGTGTTTTGCTGCAACAAAGCCTTTTTCTGATGCAATGCCTTCGACTCTGGAATGAATGAACGTCCATAAATCTGCTCAGAGATCATAGAAAAGAGATCACTCCTTATAATTACAGAACTTGTCTGATGTTGAAAGTTTTCTTCAGTATAAAAGTAATCCAGTGATTGTTGTCTGTGCGTCCACGGGTACATTGTAGAGAGGAGCTAATAGCTAATAGCTAATTGAATAAACAACTGGGACTCGTGTTCTGATCTGATGACCACTGCAGAAAAAGGGTCCATAAATCCATATAGTAAGAGTATAAGTAGTAAGTAAGAGAGAAAGTACGTGCTGCAGAAGTCAATAATCATAAATCTAGAATAGATTAAAAAAATAGAATATAACATATGTAATAGCCCATGTAAAGAGGATGTCATATTCTAAATAAATTGATCCATCCTGTTTACAACCATGGTTGCGAAAGCTGAAAATAATGCAAATAAGAAAAAGAAAACCAAAGTGAATTCATTCAAATTGATTGGTTATATATCCCTGGAGCACTAGTTGAGTTTCCATCCGAATGAAGCTCACATTTTAACCGAGGATTTCCAGAAAATCCCCAAAATGAATCATGTGTGATCTCTTGATTCCATCCACTCCTGTTGTGTTAAGATTAGTATCATATACATCAACAGCAGGTGGAGCTAATTCTCCAGTTGGTGCCATTAAACCACTGCAGAAGAGAAGGAGGATACAACAAGATGAGGTCTTTACAAGAGCTCCAAGTTGAAATGATGGAAAACCAAATGGAAATCAGACATTTCTGTTTGTTTCATGTATTAATGTGACGTTTACAGTCTCCCTATCGCTCAGATCTGATGCTTTCAGTTCTTCACTTTAAGTCATACGCTTCATGTACTTTTACATCTCAAGCTTAAAAACCTGTGGTTGCGTATGTAGGTATAGGACCAGCATGCACCTGGGTGGCTCTGCGGTTTTTAAACTGAGGCAGCGATAGCCTTCATTTCTTTGTTGTTTTGTTCATAAGTAACACAGAAACGTTGCATGAACTAACCCTAACCCTGTTATGTATTTAGCTTTAGTAGGTTAAATCATGGGGAACATTGTCATAATTGCTGGTTCTGGGATTTTAGGTAAAGCGATCGAAGTGAGTAGAAACTCTTTTATCCAACACTGCCATCAGGTGGACACATGGTGACACACACTTCTGTCTGTGGGAATATAAATGTCGTGGAATTTAAAATTAACATTGTGTCTACTGACTTTGTCCTGACAGAGATGTTCTGCAGATTAACAAGAACGGACCATGACCCTACACATGCAGGAATGTTGGAAATGAGTGTGTGTGTGTGTGTGTGTGTTTGGTAATTTACAACAAGGTCGTAGATTTGGGTTTTCGGCCTCTTCCTGCACTTTGATATTATGTATAGCTGTTTTGTTTGTGTATTTTAAGATGTGCAAAATAAACTAAAACTAAACTAAACTAAACTCTAGCTGTTACAAATTCTCAAATATTAGCAAACTTTAATTGATGTTTCTAAATACGTATGTCGTTGCTGAATATTGTACATGGATTAATTTCCTGACCACTAATTAGCACATCCGTTAACGTGACTCTCTCTTTACACGGCTCTGGTTAGGCCTACTGCTAACGTTAGTAGGTTAACGTTAACAGGAGTTTAACAGGAGTGTTAGCATACAGTTAGCTTCCAGATTGTGTGCCAGACAGCAGAGACATTCATCTTACTTTAAAATAGGAAACAAATAAGAAAGCCATAACATTTTACTTTATGTAAAATGATCACTCTTAATGTGAAAAGGCAGATTCGACTGAAGGCAGCTCCATCTAAGCTTCCTCCACCTGTCGCCCTGCCGACGCAGGAAGTCCCATTCCAGTGCCTCCATTGATCCCTGCCACAGTTTCAAGCTTTACGGTGTAAATACTGTGTTGCCTGATTTTATTTGAAATCCTCCTTTTTCAGAGCGGAGCACCATGGGTAGCGCTTTGGCGTGTTCCTTGATTTTGAGGGATAAAAAGAAACCGGATCTGGACACCGGGAAGCTAATGAGAATCCACTGGAACGGATTCCAAAACACGGTAGTAGCCGAGGAATAAAACGACTGGCGAAGATGGGAAGAGTGGCGTTTATTCGTTGTGTTTATCCACACCGCTGGATGCGTGACAATTTATGTTGATTGTTTGTCAGCTGTCAGATTACCTTGGCTGTTCGAGGTGGATTCATGCAACGACAACAACAACAACAACAAAAAGGGAAGCTTCCTTCTTCCACATCCAGAGGATTGGCGGTTGGCCTGACATCATTGGCTGGTCGTTGGTGAATGAATCATCGCCTTCATCGGGGGGGTCAGGGATGCTGTCACTGTCACTGTATCCTTAAAAAAAAATAATACCTCCCACGTAACACAGACCGACCTGGTCCCCCGGAGTCTCTCTGTTCCGTCTGAGATTTAAACGCCTGCTTGTTTCCTCGGAGCCAGCATGGAGGAAATCCTGCGAAAGCTGCAGAAAGACGCGTCCGGCCACAAGCACAGAGGTATCCGGGATGCCTGCGTCTACGCCCGCGGTGAGTGCACAACAGCGGCCGCCGTCCTCCTCCTCCGGTTCTCCGGCTGCAGGAGGGTGGCAGAGGGGGAGAAATCTGCGGGGTTTTAGGTAACATGGAGCCGCTACACTAATCCAGGCCTAAGGGTGGTATAGAAATATATCAAATAAACCACGACATCTTAAGGGAAATCAATGTTTCTTATAAGTTAATTAAAGATGGTCAACCCAAAATACTGTCTATGTGGGGAGGGGGGAAGCTCCATCATCCAAAACAGGAAAAATAAAAGCTGCACCTGCTGTTGTTTTTTAGCTGCTGGCTCTTTGGGATCAACAAGCACAGCTGAGAAAAGAAACCGTCATTTCAAACTCATTCAGTTCTTTAAAGATAATTCATAAAATATCATCTGATCTGTGCAACGTCACAGTAACTTCCAATAAAGAAGGTTCAATTATCCCGTATGCACCTAAATGCACCATTCTGGCAGACTTTTCAGTACAAATTTTAAACTGCCCAGATTATTTAAATACACAATAAACATACATGACACTACAGAGTACCACAGATTTCTAATTGCATTGCTCGGAGCTTTATGCATAATGTTAAGCGGCTGTGACAATATGATGTCATATGATGACATCATGCATAGAGCAGCTCACTCAATAGTATTCACATCGGTTGTGCTTTCAAAGAAGACGTGAGGCTGTGGGTCTTAATAAATTATCATCAATGCTGACGTTTTTGCTGACTCACTCGTCATCTCTTACCGTAAAAGGGTTGTTCAAGTTTTTTAAATGATTCACACAAGTACCGTGACTTATATCTTCCATACACGGAAAGCATCAAAATCCTTTTCAAGAAAATAGAGCTTTGCAGACTTTTATTTGAAGACTCTTTGCTGTGTCTCATTAGTGTCTGTCTGCACAGGTCAGTGCTTTCCCCAGAAGTTCTCTCCTCAGCAAAGCAAACAAAGCCTCTAAAACAGCATTCAGAACACATGACAGTAAAAACACCATTCAAGCAGGTGGAAAAAGAGCTTTCCACTGACGTCAGTGGGGATATTATGAGTATTAAAAGGCACGATTTGCCAACCTGACCTTTTGGTGGCAGGTGAAACTCTGTTACACAGTAGAGAATGGGCTCAGATTGTGCTGATGAAGGCAAACTCATTTAATCTTACACACGCACACAAAGTTAATGCACACACACACACACACACACACACACTGCAAAGGTGTGTTTAAACCTAATGGGGCATGAAGTGGTCTGCAGACCTTGGAACCATGGATGTGCGAAAGCAACGTGTGTGTAAGAAGTGAGGTCTCCATTGTGACAAAACCGACACTATCCCATGCGTCATGTTTCAGTAATGTCGGCCCTCTTACTGACGTGAATGGACTTCCTCATGTTTTACAGACTGGTTTGAAATGACGCGCCCATAACGGCAGCTTATATGTTTGCCTCTGAAGTTACGCGAAGGACGGCAAACATCCAAAGTGAACGCCACCTTAGACACACACACACACACACACACACAGATACAGGACACGTGCCTGATAATATAGTATACTTGTACAGTTTAAGGGCAAGGCTAGTGTCCACTAAACCTTGAAGTATGCAACATGACAGCCTGTGCAGACTAACAGGAGATGTATGCTGTGTTTTAGAGATGTCAGCAAGTCTCATATTTCAAGTTTAGACAAGAGAAATGGCAGCAGCAGTGTATCCCTTGTGTGAAGCCAAGGTGACGCTTCTCAAGGTTCCTTAGATACAGTTCGAGGTAATTGCAACACGAGAGGTGATGAGATGAATTTTAATGAAGCACAGCGTTATTCTTAATAAAGCTGTTTCATATTTATCTTTTTTTTTTTACAGCATGTAGTTGTAAACTGAAGTGTTCATGACAATGAAGGAATATGTCACTCTGAAAATATTGAGATAAGAAAATAAACGATACGTTTTTTCCTCAACTCTGTGCCGAATTGTTACATGTATTTAAATTTGAAAACCAGCTTTGATCTCATACCCTCTCTGAGCTAATGTTTTATGCTAACCAGCTAGCTAATGTTGTCAAATACTGTTGACATTAGCTTTAGTGTGGGGAACCAGATTTAGCTTTGGGTAAAGCTTCTCCTGAGCTCAACAAACAGTACGTAACAGCTGGGGAATTTATTGGTTTCATAAAATGTAATCCAGCATATCTGTGAGGTAATTATTAATCACCATGTTCTCTTTTCTCTGTTCCATTAATTTACAGAAACGCTGGAGTCTCAGAATGGATCCACCAAGGTTTCCCCTTCACAGCTCCGGTAAGTTGAACAGTCAGTTTCACTTCAACTCAAAGCTTCGGAGGCATGAAGTCAAAAACATTGAGCCCAACAGAACCTAAACAAGAACTATTATGAGCTGTGGGATCATTGGTTGCCGGGAGGTTCATCAGACCATGAAATGCTTGAACACAGTGGTAAGACACGTTAGCTTTGCCTTCCAGCTACACATGCTGTACAGTGTGTGTTTATTGCAGATATACATGGGTAACCAAATATTGAAATTCAAAGTGTTCAAAGCCTTCCTCTATTTTACACACCGTGTATTATTTGAATGAATTTGAATGATCAAATCATTCCTGGGATGGTAATGCAAATATTGAATTTAAGCAGTTTGTCTATGCATCAGTGTTACACATCACTGTGTTTAAACACAGGTCGAACACCACTGCAGAATAATTGCCAGAGAAAATAGTATATAGGCAGTGGATGGGCTCAAACAGATGGGGTTGTTTCTCCCCACACACTTAAATGTGTGTTTCCTGCATCAAGAAGACGTATATCAGCCGTGTAAAATTATATATGGGTCTCCTTGCGGATGAGCGCGCCTCACAAAAGAAAAATACGAGAAGAAGAGAACAGAAGCTGTTGATCGTGTGCCAGAGTTCCTCGAATAAATCGAAGACACAATTAACAGTAAAACTACGTTGCTGCACTGCCAGTTCTATTTTCATCATCTGATTTTTCACCTATTTCTGTTGGATGGATTTATTTCACTCACACTTTATATATTTCTTGCAACTTTTCATGGAAAAAATCTTGTATATGCAGCATTGAAGCTCACTCTCTTTTCCCACATGTTTAGGTAAAATGGTTGGTTTTAAATGTATAAAGTGAATGCAGCGCCGTTGTAATGAAGGTGCCATAAATTCTGGATGCAGCTCGACGCACTGTGAATTATTCATTCAATAACCTCTGTTGTTTTATTAGGGATTATTGGATAAAATATTGATGATAATGTATTTGTGATGCAGTGCGATGGTCCTCGTCCAGTGAGCTCCTCTGTCTCTACAGAAGAGATTTCAAAGCTCAGACGTTCGAACAAAGAGGACACTTACTGTTACACACTGACTGACAGGAAGCAGGATGAGACGACGGTTCCCTCTGAAGGATAGTGGCCACGAGACGTGCTTTATTTACAGAATACTGAAGTTATGAGAAAATACTTTGACAAGGAATGTTTTTGTGTTCCTTCTATCATGTAAATAATTGGGTTGACTTTGAAATTCTCATCCAGATTAATATTTTTTTCTTCATTCAGACTTCTTTGTGTATTTTGAGGCCGGATGCTGTAATTGTGCGTTTCTTTGTGGCGTTCTATGTGCTCATAAAGAAAGCGTCTGATCCCATTCAGACTGTTGGGGACTGTGGCTCCTTGCAGCCCATTTGAACCGGTGTAGTTGTGACAACTCGGAGCCGCCTGAGAACTCCGAGATGAAGCCCAGTGTGGGCTGCTATCAGCAGCAGAGCACCGTGACTCAACCAACTACAAATAATGAGAGCGAGATAGAGAGAGAGCGAGAGAGAGAGAGCGAGAGAGAGAGAGAGAGAGAGAGAGAGAATCAAACACAGTTGCTTTGTTATGTAACTGACTCTGTTCTACACTGTGTGAAACAAAACGAATATGGTTACTAAGAGATTTTATTTTTAAATGAATGAAAATATTCTGATTTATTTTAGTTATTTATATTGCAATTTCACAAATAATATTATTCTAGTACTTTCTAAACAAAGGCTGGTTTGTACTGAACCTGTAGCTTCCTCATAACATCAGTGACCGTCTACAATTAAAAGAAAATTACAAAGAATCCACAAGGAAAAATATATAAGGAGCACAATATAACATTAAGTTTTTAAGCAGCATTAAAGGCAACACGTTGATTTTTTTTGTTCGTCAATTATTTAAACTCAATGCATTAATTTGAAAGCCTGAAGTTGACAGAAGTGTATTAATTAGCTGGTGGAAAGTTATCACGAGTTCTCAGTTTATTGTTTATTCTGTGTCCGCGTGGAATCGAGGCAGAAATATCCTCACAAAGTCTGACTCTGTCTAATAAACTCAATAAACAGATACTGAATTCTGTTTTTCTGTGTTTAAGATAACATGAAGTGTACCATATGTACAAAACGCAGTAGCTTTCTCCTCCATTCATGTCAGATTTGAAGCAGACTTGAACCTGGCAGAGTGATAAAGTAGCTTTAAGCACCAGTGGAGCGTTGTGACCCTTTCAGCACCAGATCAAGGAGAGATGAGAGAGGGGACACATTCTCTCTGTACGACGTTAAAAACACACAAGACCCTGATGTGGGAGGTCCTGTGTGTCTCTGTGGTCGATCAAATGTGAAGTCAGAGGACAGAAACTCATGTTGGTTGTTTTCCCCTTCAGATGTGATTTATATATACTCAACTTGAAGTATATCCAGTATCAAGAGTACTAAGAGCAGGAAGGAGGGAGGAGGATCTGGAGTTCTTAATGGAGGTCAAGACTGAGACCATCTCATATTCCGCTGATCTGCCCCCCCCCCCCCCCCCTTAGTCCTCCAAAATCCTACTTCCTGTTCAATACTGAAGTTGTTGGACAACAGCTGCTTACACAGGGAACATTTCCTGCTGGCTGCAGATTGGGTTTAATATGAGATATATACTGTGTGTGTGTGTGTGTGTGTGTGTGTGTGTGTGTGTGTGTTAGTTATACAACCCAATACAGCGCTGCAGGGATATTTTTGAAGGCCAACTCCAGATGTTGGCATCACACTGGTTCCCACGACAAAAGTTTGGGTGTGATTGCAGACAACTAAAACTATTGCCAAACAACTGAAAGCCATAATGGGGACAGAGTTGTTGTAACCTGTTGGTGTTTCTGCTTGTGTGCGTCAGAGAGCGCTGTCTGCTGCCTCTACAGATGGCGCTGGAGTCCAAAAACACCAAACTGGGACAGGCGGCGCTTACCGGGATGCAGGTACCTCAACATACAGCAGAAAGATTATTTATCCTTTTTATTTTGATCCATCTCCTTCATTTTAGTTATCTGGTTCTGGATTGAATCTGTGGTTTGCAACAACTTAAACTTAAAGTTAAAAAAATAAATGTTGCAATCTCCGTTTTTACAATTGAAAAGCAATAAAATGCATCTTTGTTCAACTCGATACACGCTGCAGCCTTACTTGGTCTAGTATGACCAAGTCATAGGTTTGCTTGGTCAAGCAAGCAAACCTAAGATTTTTTCTGGAACTTTTTCCACAACAGAAATTAAAGTTTAAAATATTTATTATGTGGACACCACGAGGGAAGCAGCTGCTTCATTAAAACTGTCTTCCCTCTGCCGTCGTCCAATCAGAAGCTCCTGTGTGAGGACAGGTTTGTGGGCGGGGTCGGCGTGGAGGTGGAGGTTCTGGAGAAGCAGCTGCTCAGCCAGATGTTGGAGGCCATCAGAGTCACTCCATCCCTCCATGAAGACCTGCAGGTGGAAGTGATGAAGGTAAAACCTGGCGATGTGCGGATGCACCGAATCCTGATGTTAGGTCCTGAATATATATTCTATCTATAGAGTGTGAACTGATGTGTATTTTTTAAGTGTTTATCTTTATATTGCACTGTGCCCACTCAATCTGCAGGAGACTTGGCAGCAGAATCACTCTGCATGAAAAACATTTGCAGCAGCTTTTACTTTGATGGTTTCCTGTCACAGCTCTGTTATCAACTCATGTTGCTTTGCATATTTTGTGTCCAACTTAAATGGACTAACTTTGTCACAGCCCTTATGATTGTAATTAGTTTACATCAGTTCAAGTCCTTTTTCTCCTGAGCTGTTAAATCTATCTATCCCATAATATTAAGGAATGATAGAAACATTTGTTACCGACTTCACTCTCCTTTAGAAAGTAATATATAACTGTGTTTTTGTCTCCTGTGTGCAGGTCCTGCTGTGTATCACCTACTCATCAAACTTTGACATCAATGGAGACTCCATCCTCCGGATAGCTGAGGTAGGACAGCGTGACCCTCATCAGATATGTGAGATTATACACGTAGCAACAAATAAGGGACTTTCTGTTTGCTTTTGCAAAACTAATCAGCGATGTGCAGAAATTAATATTTTAGTTTACTTGTTCAGCTGCTGTTGGGAATGTTGGAGACAGCTGTATTTTAAAATGCGTCTAATAAATAGCAGAGGGTTGATCCGTTTAGGTTTCTGTTGGTTTACCTCATTAAAGGGATTGTTTGTGTCCCAACAAGTGATTTACTTTATGTACCTGGTGTTAGACATGAATAATTAAATGGACTAGACGGACTTAACTAGGACTAAATGCAGAGAATAGTTTCACAGATGTTTACTAGTGAACCCTCAAGCTGTGTTTTAAGCTGAAAAGGGGGGAAAGCTGTGCTCGCAAGAGGCTTTGAGTTGCAGCTAAGACTAGGAAAGTGCTCTATAAATGCAGTTCCATTCACTTTGGTTCGCTGTTTCTTCTCTGTGGAGTTCTTAACAACAAAGCAAAATTGAGGCATAGATTCTTTCATGGTCACAGTATTGATTGGACTGTTTCCAGACCGTACTAATGACAGACAGCATTGCTTTTTTTTTTTTTTTTTTTTTGAAAGACAGTGAACTGTTTGAACAGCAAGCGGTACATGGGCTCGATCTATTTTTAAAGGTGAAGCTATGCGCCGTCCCTACACACCCGAAGGCCTTGTCTCATGCTGTAATCTCATCCATTATTCAGACAGTTGAGATGAGTGGTCCTGCACACACACACACACACACACACACACAGGCATGAAGATGTGCTACTTTTTTAGAAATATAATAACAAGAACACGAGAGTGGTTTGAGATGAAGGGAGGTATTTGCCACATTGTAATAAACTGGATCACAATGGAATTCAAGCTGATTGCAGCTGCCTATGCAAAGGGGCAAGCTACACTCTTTCCACAGCCACCTTTAAAGACCATGTGGGGTGAGTATGTGACACTCAAAAGCTTGTCTTTTGATAAGGGTGTGCATAATTCTTCAAAAAGCACATTGTAACAGTCAACAAATGAAACCATAAAGGGCCCCCGGCTCCTGCAGGTGCTCCACCTGAGCAGCAATCTAATGAACTGACAACAACCAGCCACCCCTGTTATCTCCAAACTTAAGCCTAAATGAGTGTTATCTGTAGTGTGTTTTCCTTTAACATCACTTCAATCAGCAGCAGCTCCTGTACTGTATGTCTGACGTCCATTAACGGGTCATAAAAACCTGGTCAACATATTGTGTTAATGGGCTCTGTGCTGCCAGGGACGGCCATCTGGTGTGTGTGTCTCTGTGTGTGTGTGTTTCTGTTTGTGTGGGTCATCATAACTCAGAGAGGCTTGAGAGGATGTCAGCACCACTCTATTATCAGTACCATCCCATACAAACAGTGAGGCTCAGCACAGGTTCTTAATGCGGGGATTGGCAGCGCTGAGGGATTTATCCTGTTTCAACCACCGGGAGCTGGAGGTTAATACTTTACCTCGAATACCATGATGTCAATTACAGTACATGACGGCGCAACACCAACTTTTAAAAGCCTTTAATTTACAGCCCTGCATGAAAGGTAATTTGCAGATCATTCCCGTCACCTACAATTGAGTTTAACGGCATTGTGACACTTTTTTGTGCCATGTCATTAAACTCGCGTTCACGTTTTAGCAAGCAGCTGATTTTCTGTCAGCAGTAGCAGTTGTGTCATTGTCTACAGCTGGCAGCCTGCACCACCTAGAGGACAGGAAAGGCATGACATGGTGTTATCGCCACCTGCAGGCAAAGGAAGGAATAGCTGCAGTCATTTTATCACTTGTGCCACTTGCAGGCAATGAGTGTTACAGCTGCAGGTGTTCCTTTTCCCAGATCAGCTGCTGTTAAGTTTACATTTGACACATGTACTACCTGATAAATACACCATTGTGTCAGACTAACCTCTATATAGAGAGTAATACATGCACAGATGTCGCTGTAAAATACCTAATTATCTTTTAAAAATGTTGTAAATAAATGTGTTGCCGTTTGCTTGGATCACGTTCATACTTACATTTGACTGCAGATATAAAAAACGGTAACATTGATTGCTCGCAAGAAGTAAAACTGCCGGAGCTAGAGGACGTTTTAATTTTGGGAGGCAGCAGGAGGCCGCTCCCTATACTCTCTTAATCACCTCACACACATGCTGGGTCTGGAAGGCTTAATGATGCAGGATGTATTGATCCTCCACTGATGAGGCCCAGGTGGTGGAGGTGGAAAACATCCCAGAGGCTGCCAAGACTTAACATCTGAATATAATGATCAGATATGGTCTCTGCTTGGAGCTCTACATGAGTCTGGGAGACGGTAAACTCTCAGGTCCTCCTCACACCATTTAACAGACCTTTTTGTAATTAGTGAAATAAATCACATTTCATTGCTGACATGCTCTCTATCTCTTCCCTAAAACCCTTCTCCGGTTTACCTGTTTAAGGGTGTGTGTGTGTGTGTGTGTGTGTGTGTGTGTGTGTGTGCTGTCTGTCTGTCTTTGGTGTAAAGAGCTAAGACCTAATATAATGCTGACAACTTTCAATTCCAAGCTAATGACCCACCTGTTTACAATTGCTTTTAATGAATTTTCTTTTTAAATCTCATGTGTCTATTTTGTTTCATTGTTTATATTCTGTGTGCTTTTGTTTCTTTCGTGTGTTTCTTGTGTAATCTGTAAAGAACTTTGGGTTGCCTCTGGCTATGAAATGTGCTGTATACAAAAATGTGCCTTGCCTTTGTTTGTGTGTGTGTGTGTGTGTGTTTGTGTATTCACTGCCTGAATGTAAAGAGTGAGGAACTGGCACTCCTGGGGCCTTGTGTGCTTAAAACATACGACACTCTTGTGATACTGAAAGGCACATTTGATAAAAGCCTCTGAAAAGCTTGTGTCGTATCACAGGAAGCGTTGTGTTGTGTTGCACAGCTGCTCACTAACTGCCGTCTTACCTTCCACAGTGTTTACTCTGTGACCTTCTAATCTGGCTGGAAGATGTTTGTAACCCTGACAATCCCCCCCCCCCCCCCTTTCATTAGTCTGGTAATGTCTGCTTTCCTGGGGACTTGTGCGTCAGGACCTGATCTGCTTTTGTGACTCAGACATTAGAAAGATCACACGCTGACTGAAATAATTGTGTGTGTGTGTGTGTGTGTTTAGGTGTGTATCCAGACCTACGTGTCCAGCTGTCACCAGCGCAGCATCAACACGGCGGTCCGAGCCACTCTGAGCCAGATACTGGGAGACCTGACGCTGCAGCTGAGACACAGACAAGAGGTCACACCCTCATACAAAACACACACACAATACAATAGACACAGACACACACATGTAGACATTGACAACTGAATATAATGCTATAAAAATACTATCATTACTATTACACCATATCAAATGCTGCAAGAGAAACAAAACTAAGTGCAGGGACCTTGCAGTGTTAAAAAAAACCAAAAAAAAAACTTCAGTTTTGTCTGCTTAGAAAAACAGAAAAAGTTCTGAAAAGAAAAGTTGAGAAGTTGGAGAGCCAATCAACAGAAATTTAATCTTGTGTTCACAAACACACATGTACATACCCATTACACACTGACGCATGTAAGTCAATCAGAAACACATACTGTATACTGTGAATAGACGAGTACGAGACTCAAACTACCCACCGAGCCTGCAGACAATAACACTTAAGCTTGACAACACTCTTTCACACTACAGCTGTGTTGACACTGAAGCCCAAAAAGACCCACTCCCAGTAAACACGCCCCCTGTCGTGTGCTCCTCCACAGGGTGCAGATGGAGACGAGGTGACTGCACCGCCACTGCATAGAAGAGGTAGGCTACATCATTACCAGCTCTGTCCTTCACCTCTGCAGCTCTCATCATCAGCTCCAGAGCTGCCATCACCTCTCTGTTGATCTTGACAGCTTGTCGAGCTGTTACTGCCAAATGAGCACGGTGCAGAGCGGCGGCTGTGAGCTCGCCAGTGGGGCACGCTCACACCCAATAGCATGCATCCACAGCCGGCCCGGCTATGTAAACAAAGCACAGAGAAGCTCTGATTCAAACAGACACAGAGCGAGAGTGACTTCACTCTTCTCAGGTAGACATTACTCCACGATGTTACTTAACGGACACTCTCCCAGGAAGCTTGTGTAAAGCTGAGGCCAACAAAGTTCTAACATGGCACCCTCAGGACAATCTGTTGTTTCCTCATGTGAAGTGAGTATTAAAGCTTCATGGAGCAGCTAGTGGCTGTGGGACTTATCGTCTTCTTTAGTGTTCAGAACAAACTGTTTTATAGCTGTTATAAAGCTACTGTTATCCCCCGTCTGCAGGTAGTAAGAAACTCCTCCACAGGGAGAGTGTCGGGGGTTCTCTGTGATACTACACAGCCACACACACGCAAACACAGAGACAAACGGCATCACAGTTGATTCATCTTATATATTACAAAGAAACGAGGACGAGAGAGAGGAAGTGAGAGACAGGCGAATATAATTTTTATCACTTCATGAACATATTCAATAAAGTAGGTGTCATGAATTCACTTGTTATTGTATGTGTGTGTTTGCAGACATTTCTCCCACTAGCCAGGCTCTGTGTGAAGATGTGGTGACGGTTCTGACTGTTTTCTGTGAAAAGCTGGAGTCAGTGGACAGGTAACCCTGCAGCTTTACTATTACTTGGCGTACTATTCTTTCTCTTGTCGTACTATTTAGGTGGTAATTGATTTTCTATGTGCCAGATGAAACATTCAAAGAAACAAAAGCTTTAGCTGAAAAGGTGTGTCAACAGACTGTGTTGATTAACACTCTCCTCTGACTGACCCGCTCGCATGTCATTAATAGTGCTGGTTAGTTTTGGGCGAGATGCTGATGTCAGCCTCTTTTAAAAATACAGTCTAATGTGTAATATGTTCCTCTGAATCACTGACTGTTGTTTCTTTCCATCCTAAAGTGAGAACCAGCTCCTGCAGCTCCTCTACCTGGAGTGCATCCTCTCCATGCTCAGCAGCTGCCCTCCCACAATGCACCTGTCCAGAGGGTTCACCGACCTCGTATGGTAAGACATGTAACTCTTCTATAATCCCGTGTTTGTGGAATGGTGTCAGTGATCTCATTTAAATGTTTAGGAGATGCTTTATGTGATATTTTTTGGAAACCTTTTTTCCAGTTAATGATAGTTTTTGTAAATGTTGTGTTTTTCTTTTTTCAATTCCTCAACTCACCTTATTTTAGGTCAGTGCACTCTAATATATTCATTATCCTAAAAATCTATAATTTTCTTTCACCCAGGAAGCAGCTGTGTCCGTCCCTCGTGGCGATCATGGGAAATCCTGTCAACGACAAAACAATCGCTTCCCACCACGGCTACTCGAGCGCGTCAGACCGTCTCTCAGATAGACACAGTCTAGGTAACTGGATCCAACCACCGTGGGTGGTCAGCACAATTGTTGCATGTACAAAAATACGAGGGCTAGTTTGAGTCCGTAGCCCAGACACATCGAAAGAGAAACATTTCCACAGCTATAAAAGTTTGTGTGATGTTCACAAAGCTAACTGACTTAAAAGTGTCACAGTTTCATTTTGTCTCTTGCAGAAGCTTGTGCTTCAACTAAAGACACTGTTTCCACACATCCCATGTTATATAGTGACTGTGCCGATTAGCCGGCCTGTTATCCTCTTAGAGCCGAGTCAAAGGTTGTAAAGACAAGCAGTTACAAAGCCTGACGTCGACATTGTTGTAACTGCTTTGGAACAAGCTCATTTACTTAATTAGAGATTAAATAATTAAATGGTCTGTGTCCATTTTGAACAAAATAAAGAGGAAGCGGTTGTTTTTACCTTGGAGAGCTTGGAAATTAAGACCATATATAATTATGTATTATCTCCTGCCAGCAGTCAGCTTGATGGTGTCCCCTTCCTTCAGCAGGAAACCTTTTTACTAGACATTACGGTGAGGCGATGATGTTTTTAGGTTATTCTGGTTCAGGCCTATAGACGTCTCTCGGCTTGTAAATGTGATATACTTTAATGGTTCATCTTCATGTCCCTTCTTGTTTTCACCTCCAGGAATCAGCCAGGAGTTGGACTCCTTTGGTGGAGGGGTATCCGATCAAGGCAGAGGGTCCGGCTGTTCCTCCAGCGCCCCCGCCAGGATTGCGCCGGTAGTGCGGACCGTGTGCTACATCGCCGCAGAGCTTGTGCGTCTGGTGAGCTGCGTGGAGTCGATGAAGCCGGTGCTGCAGTCGCTGTACCACAGGATCCTGCTGTACCCGCCTCCTCAGCACCGCACAGAGGCCGTCCGCATCATGAAGGAGGTGGGAGGAGGAGGAGACGTTATTGCTCACCTTTGTGCCATTATAACTTTCAGATTGATTTTCCACCTTCAGTCAACCATTTATTACCTTTCACTAAAGTATAAGTAAGTATTACGCTGCAATCTATTTGTGTGTGTGTGTGTGTGTGTGTGTGTGTGTGTGTGTGTGTGTGTGTGTGTGTGTGTGTGTGTGTGTGTGTGTGTGTGTGTGTTAGATCCTGGGCAGTCCCCAGAGGCTGTACGACCTCGCCGGTCCGTGCGTGGTTGAGCCTGAAACCAGGAAGCGTTCCTTCTCAAAGAGGAAGTCCCACCTGGACCTGCTTAAACTGTTAGTAACTCCTCTCTCCTTGTTCTTTATTTGAGTTCTATTAGCAGAATTTACTTTATGAGCTATTCAACTTTATAAGTTGAATAGCATCTGGTCGTAACGTTGCTCTTAAAGCTACACAGTGTTACTTTTCACAAAAATGCTAAAATAATGCATTTTATTCACTATATTTCAGTTGTTCTGATCTTGATGTTTTTCATTGACGATGTTCCTTAGATAAGAAGCTGTATAATTAATTTGGCACTGGTAATCTGACAGTCACAATGTTTCACAAAGTAATTAGATAATTAACCAAAGTAGAATGTACTGAAAGCCAGCAAAGCGGCTAAGATATGATGTGCGTTTGCATGTTTCTGCTTCCTTCTTCAGAGTGATGGACGGGATGACCGAGGCCTGCATGAAGGGAGGCATCGAGGCGTGTTACTCGTCGGTCTCCTGTGCCTGCGCTCTCCTCGGGGCGCTGGACGAACTGTCGCACGGCCGCGGCATTCAATCTGAGCAGGTACGCTACTGTGACAGGACGCCACAGACATTAAACGGTGTACTCCAGTGATTCGGCACTCCACTTAGAGTAAATAGATGAAGCTGATTTTGCAGAAATCGTCTTAAGAATCCGTGGTTTTAAGTACAAAAAACGTAACGAAGCAGATGTTTCTCAGGCTCGGCTTCTCCTCAGACGACTGGAGGATCTGAAAGAAGGGATAGAGTCGACACGCGAGTCCATGGAGATCAACGAGGCCGATTTCAGGTGGCAGAGACACATCCTGTCCTCCGAGCAGGCTCCATGGGACCCCAGCTCTTCTACCGCCAACGTGGCCACCACCGGGCCCACCGAGCTCGACATCAGCATCAGCATCACCACGGAAACAGGCCAAACCACTGTGGATCTGGAGGCGGGGGAGCTTGGCGTGGGTCCGGGCACTACTCCTGAGGAGTGTGGGGAGGATGCACGCCTCCCCTCGGCCTCATCCTGCGGCAAGCAGGAGGGAAGCAAACGTGAGCCGAGCATCGAGGCAAACCAGGGGAGCAAACGGGAGCAGGGAGGACGCGCAGTGGAGGTCGAGGGAAGAGGAGAAAAAGAAAGAGTAGGTGGTGGTGGAGACGTTGGTCGGGGAGAAAGAGGAGCTGTGGTTCCTCCAGATGTGGTGCAGCGAAGTCACGGCCTCGTCTACCCCGACATCACCAACTTCCTGTCTGTGGAGTCCAGGACCAGACCGCACCACGGAGGAGGGTCACGATACAGCGAGAGCAACTTCAGGTCAGTGTGTAAAGTGCAAAGACTGAAGTGAACATACAATTGTTACTGTATTTGAGAAGCCTTTGATGTTCTATGCTTTTGTTACAACTGCTTAGCCACAGAATGATATGTTACTTTAAATAGATAAATGAATTATGTGACATTGTGACAGATTGTCTCTCTCAAGACCAACTCAAACCACTCACTGCCTGAAATCAATCAAACATTTTTACAGTATGCCTTAAGATGGCCAGCAACAATATATAAAAGTGACATAATTGATCCACCTGTTGGTTCCCCAGTATCGAGGAGCAGGACTTGTCGCGGACAGAGTTCGACTCGTGTGACCAGTACTCCATGGCTGCAGAGAAGGACTCGGGCCGCTCCGACGTGTCGGACATCGGCTCCGACAACGTCTCGCTGGCGGACGAGGAGCAGCAGACGCCTCGCGACTGCCCGGGCCACTGCTCCCTGCGCTCCGCCGCCCTGTCCCTCAAACTGCTCCGCAACCAGGAGGCCGACCAGCAGAGCGCCAGGCTGTTCGTCCAGTCCCTTGCGGCGCTGCTGCCCCGGCTGCTGGGATTGGCCACCGCCACGGAGGTGGACCTGTCGCTGCAGAACTTCTCCTCCTCCTTCTGCTCCGGACTGCAGGCTGGTGAGAGAATCGGAATCAGAAAGGAGGGAGAGGGTTAGAGCTGGTTTTAAAATGTGTTGGTGTCACTTGGTTTGTTGTCATGTTTGAAACCTGGGAGGTGGATAAACTCTGTGATTGTACGTGTGTGAGTGTGTTTGTGTGTGTAAGCTAAACAAACACGGGTTATTTGCCGAAGGTGGAGCAATCCGTGCAGCAGTCTCCTTTATTATTCAGCTCTGGCCACGGGGAAGTCTCTGCTGTTGGTTAAGTCCCAGAATGAGACACTCGCTGTTTGAACAAGAGATGTTGTAGAATAAATCTTTCAATATTGTGGGGACACTCTGGGCTATTCAGTAATATATAGTGCAGGTAAAGTGAACAATCAAATAAAATGTGAATATCTTATTGCAGGTCATCTTTAACCAGGTGAAACTAAAATAAGTTTCAATCTCAAACTATTTGATTGTATGTTCACAAGGATTTTAAGAAATTGCAATCTTAAAAAGTAGTCTGAATGTAGCGCCTCTATATTCAGTTCATCACTTCAGAGCAGTTTTAATCAAACGTTTTGTGCCTATGAATGAAATTAAACTATACGATTAAGTATATTAAGAAAAATATCTACAATATATCACAATTCTTTTTAGAAGTGATGTTTTTTTTGCAGAAATGTCTCAAACTGTCCAAGAAATGTACAAATGTTCAAGAAGAAGCCATATTAGGAACCAAATCCCTGCAAACCGTCCCACCAGAGTTAGTTGTTGCAGCCCGCATTAGTGTGGACGTGATATTTTTGTTGTTTATGATACAATAGTGACATAAATGTAAAGGAGTTTTGAAAAATTCAAAAATCCCTCCGCCTCCCTCCAGGTGGGATCCACTCTCCAGGTTTCGAGGCGGGGGACACCCTGAGCTGTCAGTCTCTGATGAACGCAGACGGTCTCTACCTGGTGTCGTACTACGTTCTTCTGCTCAATCTCAAACTCTGCTGCTGCGACTACTACAGGAGGCGAACGCTCGCACCCATCCTCAGCCTGGTGAGCAGCAAAACCACATATTTATTGCTAAAATGAAAGGAAAATGAGACAAAACGTATTTGCAGACTCCACTCACTTGTCACCAAGTCAGAGTAGGATAGATTCTGATGTGTGTTGTGTGTTTTTTTTTGCAGAAGGAGTTTGTGCGTCTGATCCAGAGCAGCGGAGTCCTTGTGGTTCTCTCACAGAACTGGATCGAGGAGCTCTACAATCAGGTGTCAGAGCGCAACCTGCTGGGCGAGGCCGGGTACTGGGGCTCAACGGAGGACCACAAGCTGCCGCTCATCACTGTGCTGACAGGTACACATACACATTTGTATGTCTGGCTAGTCTCCACATAACCTAACATACTAACACGTTTTCTCTCTGGCCTACAAACACCTGGAAACATCATGACATAAAAAATGCACTCCTTTCCTTGAGGGAGATTTTCACCAACTTACTATATTTGAGCAAAGTTCTTGAACTTCTGCCTCTGTCACTTTTTACCTTGAAAATAATTAAACGATGACACATTTCTAATATTTACACAGAATTAGTATAATTATACATGATTGTTTGCCAAAAGACTCCTCTACAATGATCACAACAATTGACCGCTTATTTTTATTTTCTCATCATTGTCCCTCTTTCCTCACCTCTCCTCCTCCTCCTCCCTAAGATATTGACGGTCTGGGCAGCAGTGCGATTGGAGGACAGCTGATCAGGAGAGCGACCAACCAATCACCACTCAGCTGTGACAAGGCTGGCAGTGACACCGTGATGGCAGGTCAGTGGCCAAAACCCCAGAAATATGACGGATGGATTAATTGATCTATTTATGCACAGATTTACACAGTGAATTATTCATTAGTTCGTATTGCTACAAGAGAAGTGTTTGTCTTGTGAAAAGTGTGAAATCTGAAAGATTTTTCATGGTTGTAGTGTTTCTGGAGTAATGTTCAGAAGAGGAGCTTTTCCACAGTGCTGCTAAATCAGCCAAGCTCAACACTTCTAATTAAATACGGTTCGCTCGCCCCTGAAGCTGTATTAATCAGTTTAAAATGCTGCGCTGGCTGTGTGCTAAAAGGTGAAGCGTCCCACAACAGTGCTGCATGGTCGACTGCTCCCACCTTTTTAGAGAGAGAGAGAGAGAGAGAGAGAGAGAGAGAGAGAGAGAGAGAGAGAGAGAGAGAGAGAGAATATGAGTCAAGGACCACCTGCACTCCTTCTGGTTTCCCTGGAGTACAAAGGATTGGCCAGAATTGCCATGGTACCTGCTGCTGAGTCATAGCTGATGACAGAGACAATACTCTATGTAGTCTTAATGAAAATGGAAAAATGGCACTAATTTATTGTCTTTGACTTTCCTCAGTTGAGCATTTGTGTGTTTTTTTTCAGGCGCCGTGTTCTCGCGCTTCATCCTCACCGGCGTGTGGAAGAACCTGATCGACGTGCTGTCCACGCCGCTGACGGGCCGCATGGCGGGCAGCTCCAAGGGCCTAGCATTCATCCTGGGAGCGGAGGGAGTCAAAGAGCAGAGCCAGAGGGAGAGAGACACCATCTGTCTGAGTTTAGACGGCCTACGGAAAGCTGCTGCGCTCAGCTGCGCTCTGGGTGGGTGACACATTTGTCTCCTGCGTCTGTATTAATGAGAAAAAACGAGATGCATCACTCATCAGGGAATCCTCTGTTCTCTTTCCCCTCAATACACGGAGAGGTCAGATACGCTGCCAATAGATGTTACTGAATGTTAATTAAAAGATACGCACCAGCAGCACAAGAGCTGGAAAAGTCTACATCTAATTAAAGTCACGTATGTGCTTTCAGTTGCACCAATTACTTTCAGCAACAATCACTCAAAGCTTCCAAATTGAATCAACCTGCCCGGATGTGGCTCCTTTTGAACTGTGAAATGGTCCAATCAATCTGAGTTCATGTTTAGTTTGGTGCCTGAGATCGTATCAAAGGTCCAACACAGCCGTCGTCCACCCGCACAGGTGTTTATTGGCATGTGTGGGTGTAGCACAGATTGTGCTTGATTGACTTTTCCCTCCCATCCTTCATCAATTACTCATTACTAAGGAGCACCTTGACGCCTTTCCGTTCAGCTGTTGTCACATACCGCCTTCCTGTAATTGCAAAAGATCCATGAAAGGATCAGCAGCAACTGTCAAATAGAGTAAAGACAAGACCCAACATAAATGTGTGTGATGTTTCCTACATTATCCAGCAGCAGTGGATGAACAAGAAGTCAGCACCGTGTTTGGCCTTATAAGTAGCAAACCTTCCCCATAAATGCACAATCTCACATCTCTCTGGAATTAATCACAGGATCAAACTTGCACATTAAGAGCCCGTCCTCCCCAACAGACCACAAGGACGCCCTTTTAATGGTGTCAACGTCTATTTTTAACATTATTATTATTATTATTATCAACATCTGTTTCAAAATGTAATCATACAGGGAACGTTTTGCTGATTGTTTTTCAGCTTCATTCTGCTTCACATGAATCAAATTCAACACTTTCACAAGTTAAAGAGATGTTAAAGTTTTCATACAGACTGTTAATTGAATATGAATGAACACATGGTGTACAACCTCAACTGTTAGAGAGGACAGTATGGGGGAAGGGATGGTACAGTTTACGTACAGAGAGTTCAAATTTAAATACATACAAAGGTGAAGAAAAGCAGACGCACGGTGCATCAATCTGTGAAATGTCTTATCGTGTGTGTGTGTGTGTGTGTGTGTGTGTGTGTGTGTGTGCATGTGTGTGCATATGTGTTTTTCAGGTGTGGCTGCCAACTGTGCCTCAGCTTTGGCCCAGATGGCTGCAGCCTCATGTGTGCAGGAAGAGAAAGAGGAGAAGGAAGTGGGAGAGACGGGCGACGCCATCACACAAGGTACCGAGAGCAGCTCACACTGTGATGAATACACACATGCAGGCTCACACACACTAACACACACACACACTTGAATGATTATGGATACACGGATATGCGACTGTCCGTTCTAAACAACAGTGAACCTCCTGAAGAGGTTTGCGTAGATGCTGCAACAGCATCATATCGATCAGAACTGGAGAATATTTCTTCATTGAAAAGAGAACAAAGAACAACACTGAAGACTTTTTCCTCAATGGAAAATATGTTTTTGCTCTTTTCCCAACTCGCTTCGGCAAGAGTTCGATTGACAAATTGTTCAATGAGGTATTTTCCGTGACATCTAGTGAAAGCTAGAACGCAGCATACATTTAAGTTTAATAAAGTGGTATAAAGTTAAAGCTATATGTGTACTGTACGTTATATATCCGGATATGCGTTTGTGTGTGTGTCCAGTGAAGCAGCGCGTTGAACAGCGTCTGGAGCAGATGGGTCGTCCTCAGGGAGTTCGCCTCCACACGGCTCATGTGTTGTGTATGGACGCCATCCTGAACGTTGGACTGGAGATGGGCAGCCACAACCACGACTGCTGGCCACATGTCTTCAGGTACACACACACACACACACACACACACACACACACACACACACACACACATCTTTATTACTTTTCTAATTTCCAATTATATTTAACAGAACTTCTAAACACTTTTGGGATAACTGAAAGAAGTAGAATTACCTGCTCCAAAAATCGAAAACCTAGTAAGTTAGTTTAACTTTCCCACATAAATAGAAGGATTGCATTTTCAGGAAGTTGCAATATCATTTGGGACATTAAATGTTTTAAAAAGCCCATTGATTGATTTCAAACACAGTTCTTTAGAAAACGGATACAGCGCTAATACAATATGTTTACATTCACGTAATTCTTTCTTGTATTCTACTTTTCTGTTTCATCTCCTTTACCTCGTTCTATTCTCTTCCTGCCCCTCACTCTTTGGCTGTCCTCTCTCAGGGTGACTGAATACATCAGTTCATTGGAGCACACTCACTTCAGCGACGGCACCTTACAGCCGTCCTCTTTGACCACCATCACCCAGCAGAGCCAGCAGGCGGTCGGCGTGGACCTGGGGATGGAGCTGAGCTGCGAGCCCAGCCCGGAGGCCTCGGAGATGGGCCTGAGCCAGCCGGTCATCCAGCCCCTGTCCATCCAGGAGCTGCTGAGGGAGAGCAGCAGAGGCCGAGGTCTGGACCTGAAGATCGGCAGCCTGATGACTGGGACCAGCGCTGCCAAGGCTGTGTGTACGCTGTCAACACAGGCCGACAGGTAGGGCACGGATATCACAATACATCGTGGATAACACAATACATCGTGGATTGATCTATAGAATCTTTTATTTTTATTTATATATATATATATATATTATCAACAACAATATCCTTATAACGACCACAGGGTGGCAGCACAGCGCTACCTGAGACTGAGTTTTAGGATTAACTATAGAATTAGGTCTAGGTTAAGGTTGGAGTCCTCACGAGTATGAAAGTACAAACGTGTGTGTTACAAGTGTGCGTGCCAACAGTTATTAAAGTTTGGCACAAGTAGGGAATAAACGGTGTTTATTTCAAGGATCATCTCTTATGTAACCAGTTATCTAGGCTGCTTTTAGGAGCAAAAAAAATGTTCCCTCTGATCTTTTGCAGCAGATGGACAGAACACATTTACAAGCTGAAAATGGTGCCAAAACATAGTAAACCGTCCTCTGCACAGGGCTGTCAGTGAGCTTCAAGGGCCTACAAACGTTGTTCCTCTGCACTGTGAATATTCACTAACGTGTTTTCACCTCACTTTACAACAACCATTTAAAATGATTGTTATGATTCAGGGTCATTTTTTATGTGCGTTCCAGGTTGTTTGAAGAAGCAGCTACTAAGCTGAACTTGGTTGGTCTGGTCGGCTTCTTGCAGCAGCTCAGGAAAGCGTCTCAGTCTCAGCTGTTCGACTCTGTTACAGAAACTGGAGACTATTCACTGGCAATGCCAGGTACACACACACACACACACACACACACACACACACACACACACACACATACCTTGTTGCTTCAGTGAATATGTGAATATGCATTCCCTAACTCATAGCTATATCCTTCACCGGTAACCTTCCAGCCTCACAGCATTTTGAGATCATCCGACTCTCAAACCCTGGTGGTTGTTTCTGGTAGTGAAAGACACAACAAGCGATGGATGATGTAAAGGTGTTGAGCAGTTCAATATTAGTTTGGGAGAAAAATAAGTTTGTTAAAAAAACAAACAAGGATGGTTCTGTTTATAAAAGAGAGTAGTAGGATGATGAAAGAGTTGATGGGTTACATGAGGTCATGCGCTTATATTGTAGCAACATATACTTCTGCTAAAGTGACCAAAATTCATTAATTACATTTGTTTTCTATTCTTAAAAGCTCTGTATGCTCTTTCTAATTACAGATTTACAAACACAGAATCCCTCGTTGGATAACGGATTACATTACCACACATTTGGGAAATTCATATTAGAGTTAATAAGGACCTGAATAAAGCCCGATCAGAGCCTGTATGCCTCCTCCGTGTGTCTGTAGGAGAGGCCAAGTCGACGCTGGACCGGCGCAGTGCTCTCCATCTCTTCCGTCTGGGCGAGGGCATGCTGAGGATCGTCAGGAACAGGAACCGACCTCTGCTCCACATGATGAGGGCCTGGAGCGTTGTGGCACCGCATCTGGTGGAGGTAGGCAACTTCTGCCTCTTTTAAAAAAACAAAAACCAAAGGGAGCGCTGCTGCGACAGGCTGCAGCGTGCACAGAGCCATCTAAAAGGGTTCATCAGGGGTCTTATTCCTGCAGACTGCCCATCATTCAAAAGCTTTCATATGAAATAGGTCAGGATGTTTTTGAAACGACCAAGTCCAACAGTTTTAAATTGCAGTGCCTTCGTGTTTGTGACCACCTAGCTCACGTTGAACAGCTTCTCCCGCCTGTCAAAGTCTTTGCTGGTACAATTGTGTACTTGCATACAATGTTTAGAGTATAGTTAAAGCTTGCTGCTAAAACAGTAGGAGTGTTTTCTTCTCCCAGGCTTCATGTCACAAAGAGCGCCACGTGTCCCAGAAGGCCGTTTCCTTCATCCATGATGTTCTGACGGAGGTGCTGACGAGCTGGGCGGAGCTTCCACACTTCCACTTCAACGAGGCGCTGTTCCGGCCCTTCGAGCACATCATGCAGCTGGAGCTGTGCGACGAGGACGTCCAGGACCAGGTAGAGTCCACTCATACTAACATCCATCACTAAACCACGCGTGTAGCACCTTTATTTTGCCACACAGTTAACAACGCGTCTCTCGGTTCGTCTCCCTGCAGGTGATAACGTCAATAGGCGAGCTGGTGGAGATGTGTTCTCCTCAGATCCTGTCAGGGTGGAGGCCTCTGTTCAGCGCTCTGAGGACCGTCCACAGCAGCAAGACCGACACTAAAGACTACCTGCTGGGAGAATACTCCATGGGTACGTCTGACACACGCATTTTATTAAAATAAATACCTTAGTAAGTTTATCATCTGACAGAAACAATCAAATGTATTCTTCATCTTTCATTGCTTCCCTCCCTCTTCCCTCAATTCCTTTTTCCTCCCATCCTCTCTACTACTCTCTTCATCAACTCTTTTCCTCTTTCTTCCCCCTTCCCTCGTGTTCTCTCCTCTAGGGAAGTCCCAGGCTCCAGTCTTTGATGTCTTCGAGGCTTTCATCAACACTGACAACATCCAAGTTTTTGCCAACGCTGCCACTGACTACATCATGTGCCTCATGAAGTTCGTCAAAGGCTTAGGTTTGTCTCACTTGTACATGCTATTTTTTTCAGTTCATTACTTTTACACACCTTTAGGGATTCTTTCATTCCCCTGTATGTAAGACGCTCATGACATACGTCCTAAATACGTACATGACAGGAGGGAAAGTTTTTTTATGTTTGTAGATTCGCTCATTTTCATCTTGCACGATTCTCGAAGGTATCTGCTTTAATTTCAGATAATATTTTACAATTTAACAATCAGTATCATGACTTTTAGCTTTTACAATTCTGCTTATTTTTCATCATATACAAAAGTCAAAGACTTACCTTACACAGTAACAATTATTCTGTACCAAGCTATTATTGTGTGTGTGGTTGTCTGTGTGCGTAGGAGAAGTGGACTATAAGGAGATTGGAGACTGTGTCCATGCGTCGGGTTTCAGCTCCACTGACCTCTGCCTGCCGGCTCTGGACTACCTTCGCAAATGTTCGCAGGTAGGAAGTTTTATTGGGTTTTAAGCTAATTAGTGTAGCAAACGTTGCTGTTACACCATTAAAAAAAGAATTTCAAAGTAAAAGTTCCTTATCCTTTGTGCCTTTAAAGTTGTATTAAGAAATTACACCAAAAACACTTTTTCTTCTCAAAACTGTCCCACTAAGTGACAAAATAAATTAAATAATCTACAGTACTGTCCAGATTATTAGTCCAAATATTCATTGAGTAGCATATATGCACGCATTTGATCATGTGACATAGTGAAACATTTGATTGACAGCTGCTGGCAAAGATCTACAAGATGCAGACCAAGCCGGTGTTCTTGGGGGCGCGGCTCGCCAGCCTGCCAATGAGATCCCAGGAACGCTCAATCAGCACCGAGGACGGGATGGACTGTGTCCTGCAGGAGTTTGATGATGACACGGGTAACACACTTGTTTGTCTAATTTCCTTACTTTTTCATCCTCTCCATCCCCCTCCAACACTCTCTCTCTGACCCCCCCCTGCTGTGTGTCGCTGTGTTCTCCGTCCCGCAGGTCTGATCCAGGTGTGGATTTTGTTACTGGAGCAGCTCACAGCAGCAGTGTCGAACTGTCCCCGCCAACACCAACCTCCAACCCTGGAGCTGCTCTTCACTCTGCTCAGAGAGGTCATCACTGTGCCAGGTAACACACACACACAGACGTGTGTGTTTGAGTGTGTTTAAACAGCCGTTTTTATACCTTAGTCCCAACGTTTTAGAACAATTAAGGAGGACAGTGATCCTTGAAACAAAAACAAGGTAAACAAAGAGGTTGTTTTTACAGCCAAACAGGGGAATGTTCTTGAATGGCCGAATCAGTCACATGACCTCAATCCAAATGAACTTGCAACAGACTGATGCGGGGAAAAAAGACTATAACAAGCATCTCAAGCTGGCTTAGCTCACTTAAGCGTCCATTGTCCAAGTAAGAAGACCTGCTTACCCTTACAGTCCTAACTGTGTCTCCTCCCTCCAGGTCCGGGCTTCGCCATCTTCTCCGTCATCCAGCTGCTGCTTCCCGTAATGGCACTGTGGCTGCAGCGAAGCCATGGCGACCACTCCTACTGGGATGTGGCGGCTGCAAACTTCAAACACGCCATCGGCCTGTGCTGCGAGCTGGTGGTGGAGCACGTCAACAGCTTCATACACTCGGGTGAGACGCAGCTGTTTTTCCCATCGTGTTCCACATTTTGCAGTGTCTTTGAAATACTAAATAGTTAAACAGACATTGCTCCACATAAACCCCGGGCTAATTGCCACTTTGTCGACTCTCTTTTTGAGACAAGCACTGAAGAACTGTATTGTTTCCAAAGCTCAGCCTTCCTCTTAACAGGTCAAAAGCTCCCTGATGCTCAAATATTTCCTGCAACAACTGTCGTAATTTTTAACCTCAGGAACACGCGTCTTATTATGTATTATAAACTGAAGGTCCACCATCACAATGATGAATTGTTATCGGTCGTGTACAAAGTGTGTTTGTGCATTGAAGGGAAGTAGAGCGTGATGGATGACTTGTTATTCCACTGCCCTCCTCTTTAGTCAAATTAAATTGCGGCCACTCCATCTCTATCCCATGTGCTGATGGTTTACGTTGTGTTGTTGTTGTTGTGGTGTGTGTGTGTGTGTGTTTGTTTGTGCCTCTGCCTTCCCTCATTGCAGATATTGGTTACGAGTCTCTGATCAACCTGATGTTGAAGGATCTGTTCAAGCTTCTTGTGGCTTGTGTGTCTGAGCCTGCAGAGACCATCTCCAGAGTCGGCTGCTCCTGCATCAGGTGACGACGCATAACTTCCTCGGTGTGAATTATACATCCGTCACCACACTGACAACCACGTGGAAACTGTAAATGCAGGAATTGCCTAAATTATGAACATAGTGTGAACCAGCTTTAAGAGGTGAAGGTTTTAGATATTGACCGCCAATATTAGATAGTCGGCACTGTTTGCAATCAGACGAAGATGGTGTCCTTGAACAAAAAAAAAAAAAGCACCACACTCACATTGATTGATTGATTTTGGACTTTGTCTTCTTGAACAGCAAATGAGGGGAGAGTACAATGTCTAAACACATCATCTGGCTGATAAAAATACATTATTATTTAAAATGGAATATTGCCTAGAAAAACTGCAATTAGACGATATCAATACTGGGTGACATGTTCCTTCATTTCCATGAACACACACTGTAGTTTATTTTGATTCAATCCCACACACACCGTCCTGCTGCCAAAAAATACTTACTAGAACACACAATGTGCATTAATCCACCACTGAAAATAGTCCCCAGTAATTTCACTATTTACTCCAGTTTGATTCATGTTTGATGAAAACTAGAGCGGCCAGCTGTTTTAGGAACTTACTGAGCCTTTAAATAAAAGAGAAACTTAAAATGGCTCATGTATATATTTAAAGATTCACATCCTCAGGAGGAACCAACAGGTTTGAGGTGCCATATTTTTTGTGGGATTTACATGAACAAAAATACAAAATATCACCAGCATCATGTTCAGATAATAAACAGTGGACAATGCGTTAGAAAGGTGTTCAGATCACTTTTCCTCTCTCTAATGTAACCACTGCTGTTTCTATTGTTCCCCGTCTCTCTCCAGGTATATTTTGGTCACAGTGGGCCCAGTGTTCACAGAAGAGATGTGGAGGTTGGCCTGCTGTGCTCTGCAGGACGCTTTCTCTGTTACATTAGAGCCTGTCAAGGTAAACAAACACACACACACACACACACACACAGATACAACTACATGCAGATACCAAGACATAAAATGGCTTCCAAGTCACACGTTCGCACACAAATGTAAACGGGAAGGAGGAATAAGCAGATTTGACAATTTGTTTTGCTGCATAAAAAGAAAAAAATGTAATTGTAATTGCTGTTAATTTTAAAGATTTTGAAGATGCCTGCCCAGGTTTCAGGATTGAAAAAGTCGGATCGGTGTATCTCTAGTGTTAATTTATTAATGATGGAACTACCTGCTGTGTTTAAGTACCGTGGGAGATCACAAATTTTAGAGAGTACAGTCTGGAATCCAACCCCCGCTGTTCCATTTCAGCTACACAGGGAACAGCTCTTAACCTTGTGTCTGTGTCTGTGAGTGTGATCAGTAGAGGTGACACAGCGCCAGGCATTTTATTGGTGGATGTTGTGTGTTCCTGTGGCTGACTGACTGCTGCTAAGCAGCTTTACAGCTTAGAGCCGTGTGTGTGTGTGTGTGTGTGTGTGTGTGTGTGTGTGTGTGTGTGTGTGTGTGTGTGTGTGTGTGTGTGTGTGTGTGTGTGTGTGTGTGTGTGTGTGTGTTTTTTCAGAGAGAGAGAGAGATGATGATGATGATCTAACCACCACTGACAGATTATCTTTGCTTGTTTCCAGAAGATACTATTTTAGGACTATAACTGACTAAATGAGTTGTTTTTATTTTCTGGGTTAAGTTTTTAACGTCTTCAGCAAAAAGCATTAAGAAACACAAAGATGAAATGTTGGGTCCTTTGTGTTACTCGTTCTTGGGAAAGCACTTTGTGGAGGAAATCATCTCACACATGATCAACTGTGTCAAAGGATATTAAATAAAACTCTTTTTTGATCTCTACAATGCATCAGGAGTTTGTCGGGCTTAAAACTCCCAGCTTAATATAGAAAATCACAACATATAGCTTAACATGCTCTTAGACACATTGACAGACATGCGGTCATTTTGTTTATGTAACAGCCTTTGTGACTGTGTCGCATGTTGGGGCTAACAGTTTGGTTTTATGTGGCACATCGTATTTATTTCGGACTTATGGCCGTTTATATAAGAGCTCCTGTCATCAAGTGGCATGTTAGATGCTTTTACAGCTGCACTATCATAATGAACTGTAACTTTGAGTGGTATGTCGGGCAGTTTTACATAAGTGTAGGTGTATACCATTACATGCCTGATATTAAAATGAGACATAAAGTAGCAAGGTAGTTACTTTTCTTACTGCTTTTTGATGATTGTTCTTGATGTTCTTGTCATGGGAGATTTATTACACTGATTTATTTAAATGTAGGCATAATTCACTATTAGTAAGAAGATGAGATGAAATGTTTTCTTTAAATATCATATATTTTATAATCCATTTCGAGGTGGCTTTACGTACTCTACTTTTTCTGAGCAAAATTAGTATTTTGCTCTACAAAAACTGGATCAAATATTTTAGATGGAACATATGTTTGATTTTTATTTATTCATGTTTTTATTGAGGGATTGCGATTCATTGTTTCGATTTTATTTCTTTGTGTCCAATCAAACATATTAGTTATTCTGTCAAGACATGTTTAATTCTAAGAGGTGCTGCATGAAAAATAAAATATATATACTGTATATACATATATATATATATATATACACACAAGCAAAGCACTTCTTGATTTGCAACGGAGAAAGATTTAGTGAAATACCCTGATGTAAATGAAAAAACTCATCCAAGAGAATGTATAGTGTCTATAGGACACTGCCAGCCCTTAATACAAAGCTTAGTCTTTAACATGAAGCTTATGCTTCCACACACGTCAACACGTGACCTTTGACTGGGTCAATAGATAAGCTGAATTTTTTTTTATAAGCACTGCATTCAGGTCACATCAGATATAATGTGAAGGCTGTATTAAACTGTGTAATACTTCATGACTTCATCGCGGTGGAAATCTACATTTTCTTCATCTGCTGGGCACATTTACAGTTTATTGATGAATTCACCAGCTTTTCACAGTTTTCCCAGAGGCTATATATTGTAGAAGTACTATTGTATTATGTCAGCATGGGTTTACATCATGCATAAAGTTCATGATAACTGCGGTTGTTTTGCATCTTGTTTTTTTTTCACATTTGTGTATTCAGGGAAAGTATATTTTAGTTCAATTAAAACATGCCCTCTATTGAATCAATGTACAAACATCAGACAGATGCAAGAGGAGCTGCACGTTAACTCCTCTCTCTGTGTCTCTTTGTAGAACCTTCTCGCATGTTTTCATAGCGGTTCGGACAGTTTTTCTGGAGACGCCTGCGAGGTGAAGGTGGCGGCTCCGTCCCACTCTCCTTCAGCTGAGGCCGAGTACTGGAGGATCAAAGCAATGGCTCAGCAGGTCGGCACGACTTAAATACTGCGTGTTAACCATGACCAGTGTACTTCATATGAACCGGGACAGACAAAGTGGTTTTACATGTTCATCGGGCTGTTTTTTAACCATAAGGGTACACATGTCATTCTTAGTTGTCTCATTTTAAAAAGAAAGTTTGGCAAGAAATAAATGAGCTCTCCGGACAACAATGAGCTGGAAAGTTCATGAATTAACCACGAAGAAGTCAGAAGTGAATGTCAAGTCAGTTTTATTTTATAGCTCAATATAACAAAGCACACATTTGCGTTAAGGGGCTTGACACTCTGTGTATTGGCAGGTTAAAACCTTATGATTATGTTATGCTGGATTATATTTGGTTTATCTGTCTGTGCACTTGTCCTTTTCCACCTCCCATGGAATCCGGCCTTTGGGCTTCACAGCCGATGATTTTAAAAACAAAGTCGTGGAGTTCAGGGGCAGAGAGAGACACTCTAGACATGAGGTCATGAATCTACAGACAAAACAACAGTGTGTTCAAAGACACCTCCTACGGGTGTAATTATGTCCAAGTATCCTTATCTGAGCTTCATTCAGTATCTCGCTCTTACCAGCCAGCTGGGAGATCCACATTTGTAAATGCAAACCTTATTTATTGCAATAAAACTCAAAAGGTACAACCTTGCTCTTAGTGAATTCATCTTTAAAGTGCCACAACATATGACACCCTCTGTAGAAATTGTCAGTGCTTCCCAAAGCCCAAGATCACATCCTCAAATGTCTTGTTTGTTCAAAACTCAAAAAAATATTTAGTTACGGTCATAGAGAAGTCAAGAAACCAGGAAATATTAACATTTAAGCAGCTGGAAAAAGATTTGTGGGACTTTTTAAAAGTATATTTTTAATTACTGAAACCAGGAGAATGACAACATTAATCTCAAATTGAACTAAACCTTCAATAAGCAAACATTACCCATTAACTACAGTACACTGTTGTCCTCTTTGTGTCCCAGGTCTTTATGTTGGACACCCAGTGCTCCCCAAAGACGCCCAACAACAAGGAGGGCTTTGAGCACGCTCAGTCCTGCGTTCTCATCATCGAGCTGCCGACCGACCAGCAGTCTAACGGGCACGCTCAGAAGAGGTGGACAACATGCACACAAACGCCCACACAACAAGCATGTTTCGCTCCACATGTGATAATGATTAACTGCTTTTATTATCTAACTAGAACTACAGTACACTCCCCTGATCCTGACCTCAAAATACATTCTGACCAAAACTCTAACCAAGAAGAAGCATGTTATTGTTTTTCCTTTCAAAAGTCAAATAAAAAAAAACAGAGGAAAGTCCAAATGAATTGAAGTAATGAGGGCAAAGTTTAACAACAGCAAAACTATATCAGCAAATCCTTTTTAACAAATGTACAGTATAGTCCAAGTCTCATTTATCCAGTTGTATGAATTTCTTCTGCATCTTCACTAAGACGAGAACACTTCTGCATCAACAGTCTCCACAGGAGCATTACTGGTCAGTTTGAGTCCGAAGTGTTTTAAATGATGAGGTTTTAGCAAACCTCAAACACAAACCTGTGTTTGGGAAGTAGTTCATTCAACTTGGATTATTCTGCACAAGTTGTGTGACAGTTTGTAAACAGATGTTTATTATATGTTTGCTTATGTTAAATGCGGTCACCATTTACTTTAAATAGTCTTTTCTACGACATTTCTCTGTTTTTTGATTCTGCGTTCGCCATAGAGGCATGCAAGAAAAAAAAAATCTTCACAAAATCAAAGTGACACAGGGTGAGTAATTGACATACAAATGGTAACTGCTTGGGTGAAGTATTCCTGTAAGAAAGAAAACCAAATCAGTTTTTCTAAAATTTGCTGTCTTCTTTTGTTCAAAACTTGAAAAAACATGATTGGAAATGCAGCCAAAATCTAACCCTCACTTCCTGTCTTTGCTTGTCCTTCTGCTGCTTTGGTTGCAGGAAAATTGGGTAAGGCAGTTTTCTTTGACATTGTTCCTGTATGAAAAATGTGCATGAACAGTCGAACTAGCGTACCCACCTGTGGAGCCGCACAATGTGGAGATGGATTTGACGAATATTTGTGTTTTGTGTTATGACGAATCTTATGATTTACGTGAAGCTTCTAATGTTTAACCAATCATGGAGGTCAGATCGTAACAAAAATGGCTGCAAGGTTTATATTGACAGGATATAAGAGTTCCTCTTATGTAACGTTTACTTGTAACAAAGCAATTTTATGGCTGCCAGTCTTTCCCTTATGTAATAAAAATCAGCTTTATTGGTGCAACAGCATTGCATGATTGCTCATTCTTCATTAAAGCTTTTTCGGTTTTGACCATTATGTTATCGACTGCTCCCTCTAAAAATTTAACATAATATACTGTATGTACTGAAGCCACAATACAGTAGCTATTAAATTGGTTTATCACAGCCTAGTTACAGTAGACAATTGTTTATTTGTTACTTGGGGCAAAGAGATTGTTCTTATCATTTAAAAACGTGTTTTAACCGGCTTCCTGGTTTCTGAATCCTGCAGTATCCCGTTCCGGACCATCGTGGTTAGCCTGTTGTCGCACCAGGTCCTGCTCCAAAACCTCTATGACATCCTGCTGGAGGAGTTTGTCAAGCAGCCCGAAGGAAACGAAAAGGTCACACCTGGGACCTCTGACCCCAGCCGGGCCACAGCAGGCTTCCTGCGCTACATCTCCATGACTAATTTAGCCATAATCCTGGATCTGCTGCTGGACTCTTACAGGTTACTGCAACAAGAAAATCAGACGATATGCAGATGACAGTGTCATATGGATCTGTAATCCCACTGGAGTCGCTTCATAATAATAATGATGATAATGATCAGCTTCACACTCGGCTGACTTATCTCCTGATCTCTTCTTCTGCAGGACAGCGCGGGACTTTGACACTCGGCCGGGTCTGAAGTACCTGCTGATGAAGGTGTCGGGTGTCTGCGGAGCGGCTAATCTTTACCGTCAGTCTGCCATGAGCTTCAACCTGTACTTCCAGGCCCTGCTGTGTGCCACTCTGAGCCAAGCTGACAGCATGACGGCACAGCAGGTAGAGTCATCAAAACTCTTGTTTTTCTCCAACTTTAAAGCTGCACTAGTACATTTTATGTTAACGATGGATTTTTGTGAAACCCACAGAGAATTATCACCCCGCTCTGAAGGTCCACTCAGCTCTACAGAGCTTTTTACTGTCGTGCAGCTCATTGTTTTAATTATATAGCCCAAGCTTAACGGTTTTCATTTAATAAGTTCGGATTAATTCAGATCATACTTCCTGCTCAACACTAAAAAAACATTAGAGACTAGTTGGTTGATGTTCCACTTTTTTTACCTAAAGAGACAGATATTTTTCTTAGAAGTTGGTGGAGACCAAATAATAGCTAAAGCGAGAGTAAATATTGTATTCAAATTCATCAAATTCCATCATATTACATTAAACATGTCAACTTTATAAGGCTGAAGTTCAGTAATGAAGTTCAGAGCAGGTATTTTTTATTTTTTGAACCAAAGCCTTACAAAAATAATACAATACAATTGGCTAATTCTTCTAATTGATTACATTTAGTATCTAATAATAACTAACCCGTTGGCATCCACCTACTAAAGATCACAACCTTGAAACATTGTGGTAATAACTAACGAGTCATTAGCAATCAAAACTCAGTTTCACATTTGAACCTTTTGTTGTATTTAGGTGAAGAGGATGCTGAATGAGGAAGAGGAGGGGAGCTCCGATTCCTCTCACCCTGGCTCTGCTTCCTCAGAGGACGAAGACATCTTTGAAGAAACGGCACAAGTAATGCACACACACACACACACACACATACACACACACACAGCTTCTGTTCTTCAGTGATAGTAGGTGTATATAGAATAATTGTCTTTTTTGATTGTGATAACAGTGATTCAACTTATTCTCAGTTAATAAAGCTTTGAACGGTTTAAAACGAGGACAAATCATCAACTGCTCAGAACAAGTTCTGTTTTTTTTTTTTTGTTTTTTTGTAAAAGACAAAGAAAACGGTGCTTACAGATTTGATATGTAAATTGTCAGAGGCCACAGTGATTGACAGGTGACCATAGAAACAAAACAACAAAAATAAAAGATTTGCCTATATAAGTCTGCTCTCTTATCCATTGGTAACGTCCTCTAGTTTTCTACAGTTTAACGAGCTCCATCCTAGAGGGTTTCTTGAACTTTTCACCCTCCTAATGTAATGAGTGAGATGAATTACTAATGTTCTAATATCAAAAATCAACTCATGCTCTGCGTTTCCTCGGGCAGGTCAGCCCCCCTCGAGGCCGGGATAAACGCCATCACTGGCGAGCCCCCATCCCCTCTCTCAGCGTGCAGCCGCTGAGCAGCGCGGACTGGGCGTGGCTGGTCAAACGCCTCTACAAGCTGTGCATGGATCTGTGCAACAGCTACATTCAGATGCACCGCGACCTGGAGAACATGCTGGAGGAGATGGCGCTGCAGAGAGGAGGAGCAGGAGGAGGAGGAGATCATGTCTTCTTCCTGCCTCTCTTCCAGTCCGAGACTTCCACTCCGACTTCAGCGAGCGGGCTGTCGGCGAGGGGGACGCCATCAGAGGAAGGCGGGTACAGGTCTCAGCCAGCCGACAGCTCAGCATCACCAGGAGACACGCCCACACCCAGCCCAGGATTGAGGTCGGACTTCAGTCATTGTTATGTTGTTATAATGGCGACTTGCCGAATGTCTGTCTCCACCCTGAACACAAGAATCAAATGTAACACCTTATCCATCTGATGAACAGCTTTCTCTACCTGTCATGTAACAGCTGGCTCTTCACCTGTGCACAAGCATGTAACCCTTGCAGATGTGTTTTAATTGCACATTTGATCTTGTGCATTTTTGCAGAACATTTGACAGGCCTTAGTTTCAATCAATGCTTCACTCGCACATTACTCAGGTTACCTGCGCGCTCTTGTTCAGTGTAGCACCTGTCCAATTAAAGTGACCTGTTATTTTCTCCTTACAGCAGCACAGGCAGTCTGCCCCACCACATCCGGTATGAGGCCGAGAGGAGGGACTCCGGGATGACCGGAAGCTCTGTAGGAGGAGCTCCTGGCGGCGCTGGACCAGGAAGGAGAAGGGAATGGTGGGAAAGTGCCGGGAACAAACTGTACACCATCGCCACGGACAAAACCATAAGCAAGCTGATGATGGAGTACAAACGCAGGAAACAGCAGCCGCAGCAGCAGAGCCACGTCAACCTGTTCATGAAGGAGCAGGGCCGGGCGGCAGCAGGAGGAGGAGGAGGAGGCGGGGAGAGGAGGGGCCTGGTGGATCCTCAAAGGCCCCTGCAGAGGCCCCAACATCTGGTGGACCAGCAGGTTCCCCCATTGAGGCACTCGGTCAGTGCGGGACCTGAGGTTCTGAGGCAGGAGAAGAGACCACGATCAGGATCCACCATCAGCTCCCACAGCATCTCACTGAGGGACTCTGAGGCTCAGATACAGGTGCAGATACAATTTTATTGTCACACAAGTTTAGACATTGTTTTGTCTAACAACAGGAAAGGGAAAGGGAGGGGTGTCTGGAAGACAAACATCTGCTTGAGTGTTGAGTTTTGTTGACATTTTTTCTCTCCCCTTGCAGGCGTGGACCAACATGGTTTTGACTCTCTTCAATCAGGTCCTCCTCCTGTCGGATGCCTCGTTCCTGGTGCTCCAGCCGGCGCTCTACCCCTGCCTCAGCCAGCTCTCCTGCCACGTGACCGACGGCCGCGTCCGCCTGGCGCTGCGCGAGTGGCTGAGCCGCGTCGGCAGACTCTACGACATCACCGTGTGACATTGCGGCGAGGAGAATGCAAACAAAAAGCACCGGACGAAGAGCGCAGTCTGTCGGGTCAGTGAAGGACGTAAACAGATGAAAGATGAATTAGATTGGTTTGATGGCGTGGCGTGAAGGCGCCGCTGTGCGGTAGATTGATGATGAGTTTGATTTTCTGATGATGCAACGCAAAGGCAGACTGACATCGTAATGTAACAGGCTGGTGGAACGAGCTGGACTTATGAGAAACCTGGTTGGTAGATGTTATCATATGGATTAGTGGCACTTTTGAAGAGCGAGGAGGACATTGATGCACGTCATGTGACATTAAAGGAACAGTGTTTAGGATTTAGTGGCATCTAGCGGTGTGGTTGCAGATTGCAACCAACTGAATACCCCCACCCCAAGCGTGTCGCAGAAAGGTGGCGAAACGCTCTCGCTAGGTTTGTCCTCTCTGGGCTACTGTAGAAACGTGACGGAATCATTCTAAACTAACAAACACCCAACGATTCTTAGTTTCAGGTCATTCTAAACTGATGAAAGCATAGTTATGAATATCATATTCCCTTTTTTCTAATAGATCCCACAAAATGCTCAACACTGGCCCTTTAAGTTTTTGATTGGCAGATGAAATGATGTGATGAGAAGAATGAAGGAATTTTTTTGTATATCATGGAAATTCAACACATACTGTGTCAAAGCATTTAAATATGATAAGCTTGTTGTCAGTTTTGAAAAACTAATGCGCTCATAATTTTGTCACAGTATTGTCGTATCGTCACAATACGCTTCCTCCAAGGTGGTAAACAATAACATTTAATTATTGCTTCATCCTAATGTGGATACAGACCTAAATGTGCGCATATGCAATGAATTATGATTACTGTTAAGTTTATTTGCATACTTTTTAAAAGGTACGCTGTGGAGTTTTGTTTTGAGCTTTATTTACATTCAGAGGATCAGTTTCTTAGTACACTACTGCCAACAGCTGTTGGTGAGTTCAATGACATAACATTAGATTCTTCCAGCCATTTGTCCGTTACAGCTGTTCAACACCGAAGTGTCTCATGGCTTCCATGTGCATGCTAGGGCTAGTTGAGCATAAGATTTAAACAAAACGGAGACTCGATCATCAAAACTTAACTCCATGTGGTCCAAAACTCTGCAGGGTAGCTTTAAGGAAACGTTCTTCTTTCTCTTTTACAACTTGGGGTGTATTTTCAACTCCGTTTTGGCCAATATTACTACTCGTTATGAGATAAAGGTGAATAACAATAATGACTCCGCAGATGATGCAATGAGGGAAAATTGACTACGTTTCAGAACACAACAGATCATGAGCATTAAAGAAATGCATCTAGCTAAAATAAGGTGAACTTTAGGTATTGTTATATTTATTTCTTCCAAATCAGAGAGTGAGGTCCGTTCCATCCGGTAGAGACACGTTTTGCATTTGAACTGATTGTACATGAATTTTTGTCGCTGCAATGCAATTTCTATATCAAGCTTTAAATAAGCATATCATTTTACTTCAACTGAATGTTTATTATTCACTCTTAAACCTTGGAGCGATCGAGTATTTATTTTAACCAAAGTACACATGCAGTATGTGTACTTTAATGTTGAATGCATATAATATACAACACGTTATCTTTCACTGTTTATGTGTGTACATGTATTTATGTAAATTATTTATTATTTAAGATATTTAAAGTGTCATTTTGAGCATTTTCAATTTTTTTGAGAGTTTTCATCTTTTTTTACATTTCATATGCAACTAATAAGTAGATGTTTTTTTTCTGTTTTGGATCAGTTATCAGAGCCCAAGTTGAAGTCTTCAAATATCTTCTTCTGTCCGACCAGCAGTCCAGAACACACAGATATATACGTAACAATGTTATGAGACAGAAAAAAGCGACACATTTAATAATAATAATAGTTATCACTTGTACGCATGCAATTTCGTCATTTAAGGCACGCAGAGTTCTATGGAATTTACTGAGGTAATTCTTGCTCTACAGAGGATGAACCGCTCACATTTCAATGACCACATGACTTTTCTGAACGCGATCTTGTGCTGTTTGCTACCCATCTTGGTTGGCATTAATCTGCAGTCTTTATCTTCTAATAAATAATGCCACTGCTCTCACCTGGATGCTGCTAAAAACATCCTTCATTCATGCCACTGTGCATTTTAGGACAGATAAAAGAAGAGCGTGTTGAATTGATGCTAACTTCAGCAGCTTTGACCATATTGAGGGCGGCAGGGCAGGCAGGTCGGGGAGGGAGGGGCATGTGAAGCTCCTAAGAAGATTTACTCTTCTTTTTTCACCCAGTTTGTCAACCTCCTTTCGTTTGTCCCTCTCTCTTTGCCGGCTTCCTCACTTCCTCTGCTGATTCACTGTTCATCTTTGCCAGTTGTCTCTCTGGATAATAGAGCTCCAAACCACCAAAGATGCACCTAAAAACTACATGATTCTGCAAATGCAGGAGGTGTAGGTCAGAGTGGAAACAAGTGTCTTTATTTCTGTTTATTTGTTGCGACAGCCTGTATATCTTAAAAAGACAAGCGCCAACCTCCAGGCCTGTAAAAATGAAGCAAATGCAGAAGTGCCTTAAACTTGCATTATTGCTAGTGACCACCAGGATGTGTAAAATAAGTCCGATCGATAGATGTCTGAGAAAATTACCCAATTTCCTTGTCCCCCCTCAGCCCACAGACTTGCTGCCACACTGAACTAACAGAAGATAACAGAATGTCAGACAAACCACGGCCCAGTTCCTACTCGCAAACCTATCTTGCACATTTGCTCCCAGGAAGCTTTAGTGTGTCTCGCCTCTCTGTCCTGTCGCTGCTGTCTCTCAACCCCATTCAGTGTCCCTGACCCGTCCCCACCCGTCCCCATTCCCTGCTGTTGTAGGACGAGCAGCAGGTGGACAGATGTTGTCTGCTGTCAGTGTGATCAGCAGCAGTGAAGGGAAGGATTTAGTTGGTGTTAAATCCATGCCAGCGTTTCCATCTAAAAAAAAAAAGCAGTCGACTAATGTGTCGGTGTCATGCAACAGCAGTTTTTGTTGGTTCCTACTTCGCCTGGTTTTCATTCAGTCATTCCCTCTGATGATTGTCCTACTTTAAGTCTCAAGGCTGTTGTTTGTGTTTCTTATGTTAACGATGAGTCTTTTGTCTGCGCTGCTGAGTTTTACCACGACTGTGCGTTTGTCTTATAGCGCAGGGATTAAGACGAGATTGATTCCTGAACGTAGAAGTTGTGGCACGCTGAAGATCATCACGAGCACAAACGTTATCTGCACTCTAAGCAGATTTGATGCATGTGGGTAAAGTATAGTTCAAAACTGAGGAGAAGCTCCAAATCCGTCCGCTGTCATGTGTTCCATCGCCAGAAAGATGTTCCCACAAAGTCTTAGATTTTAAGCTCTTATTGCTTTCTGTTATTGTAAAAGCTCCTTCTTTTGTCCTTTTGCTGGGAAGCTGTAATCGCATTTGTACTGATAATTTACAGTAAAACCATCTACAGTTTAGTGTGCAGTCGAGGGATTATTGGGTCCCTGAACAGATTGAAGGCAGTGACCTAATACGCTTGTTCTGCTCAGAGCTACGACAGTTTGCTGGTATATCTTTAAAAAGAACTTCCTAAAAAAAAATGTAAAACAATCTTTAGTTCAGAAGGTTCTGCTTATAAAAAAGAAGAAGAAAATAAACTAGTTTAGACAACTCAGATGATGCTTGAGATATTTGGCTGGTTTGTTTTGCGAACAGTCGCTTAAGTTTAACAGAAATATCCCTTTCTTTAAAAAAGGCATTTGTTAGAAATGATGCACGGTGGAAAATGAAGGATTCAGTGGTTTTGGAGCTTGACTCTGTCTTTCTTTCAATTTCGGTTATAACATGGTATCCGGGTGAAGTTAGTGTGATTGTTGGCTTAGATAGCATGGGATTAGATGTTATGTTTCCACATTGCTGCGTTTCATAACTTTCTCTTCTGTTATCTCTGTTTTTTTGTTCTTTTTTTAGCTGCACCTTAAACTCTGTTAACCAGAAACAGAAACTGGATCTTGAGCTCTGGCTGCTGCACCTGAACTTGAACCACTGACAATGACAAGATTGTTGACCCTCATACAGTTAAATACATGTAACTAGGTTCTTCACTCCAAAGAAAAGGTGTTGATGTATACGTGTGTGTGAGGTGTAAAGCAGGACAGGACGACTCGGACAACGTGAATTAATTGCAGATTATTTGTGTCCCTTTGAGTGCTACAAACTCACAGGTAGAAAGACATCGCCAAATGGTTTGTGTGGGACTTTAAGGCTGTTTTTGGAACGGCACAACTGTCAAAATGAATGATGTATCCACTCGCATCCCTGCAGATGAATGTGCAGACGGTTCCCGATGTGAACGCAGGCTTTCTGCTCGTTCAGGTGGTTGGTGTGTCTGTTTGCTTCCTTCGCTGACCTTGAACGCTTCGTTGCTGGACCGGCATCAGCAGGTCAGCTAATGTTGTGACTGTGATTTCTAAAAGTGTATTTTTGTTTTCTTCCGCTTTTGATATCAAAGAAAGGCACCTGTAATCTCTCCTGCTGAAGTTTCTAACCCTGCTCTGGCTTTGCCCGTCTGCTCTGTGTGTTGTACAATAAAAGCAGTTTATCTCATGTTTGTCATCATGTTGTCGCAACTCGTTCTCGTCGCGGCTCGTTCTCGTCCCAGCCCGTCACGCACTGACCTTCGGCCAGGAACTTTAGCGTCCCTTTCTAACTAACTGTGACGCTCCACTACGGTCGCAATAAACACGTGGTTAACGTTGCGAATTCAAAAGGAAAAACTTGCTTCGGTTTAGGCAACAAAACTTGTTTGGAATAAATATCATGGTTGGGCTTAAAATAAGCATAAACCAACATATTTATGTATAATGACCCACTGAGCACTAGTACACTTTTAGCTCTAAAATAGCTTGGATATGGACCAGGATTTACTGGCTACATATAACACTGCACATCCCTGCATTTATAGTATAAGTTATACATTTTCTAACAATCCCACAATGCAATGTTAAGTTAAAGTACATTTTGAAAACGTCTCGTAGGGTTAGCAGTTTATGCGTGTTTTATCTTAAACAAAATGTTTTGAACTTAAAATGCAAGGACCTAATTTCAGGTCAGAGAATAACATCTAGAGCCATCAAGCGTTTCTGTTTATCATCGAGTGTGCGTAAGGTGACAGAAAGTAAGATACCGAAATGTGATCTTTTCAAAGTTGGGATTCAATCAAATGGATTTGTAACCACCTTCCAAGGGCCGCACTGTTTGTACAAGGATTTTAACATAGTGGCCACAGATGGAAGTGCAGGTCATGTGACACCCAGGGGACAGACGGACTGTTTGTCAAACAAACTAGAACATTCTTTGACAACCTTACAAACATCGACTTTTTGAGATGTTGACACTCGAGCTCTTAAGGACGAGGCCGAAGTGGATCCTTTGTGAAACAAAGTTGTTTTGTCTTTTACTCTTGAGACCGCTGTCTGTCCGGTCTCCCACCACCATTTATTATTGGTTTCTTTTAACCATGAACACATGTGAATCACTGTCCGTTCATCCTCGTCTCATTCACACACAACACACACAAACAAATGCACACACACACGGTTGTGTGTTGCTGCTGCTGACCAGCTTCCAGCAGTTGTAAATCCTCCCATCAGGACCGGTGACGTTTCTCCTCTCAGCTGGACACACGGACTATCTGCTGCCCTCGTTTCTTCCTCCCTCCGCGGTTATTATTTCAGGCTGATCGCTTCAGCTCAGCAGTCAGTGACCCTCTGAGCTCACAGCGAACTTGTCCTCCCTCATCTCTCCGTCCACCACACGTCTCTCTGAGCTCTCTCTCGGCCCCTGTAGCCCCTGGCTCCGGCTGGGCTTCAGATCCTCCACCATGCGGTTTCTGTTGGAGAGCAGCTGGATGAAGTTTGGACCGGCCGGCCGGGACTCTCTGGACTATTCGCCTGGACCCTCGTCTCTGCCCTTCACCAACGGACAGGCTTCGGTGAGTTTATCCAAATCTAATCTGTTTTTTTTATTTTTATCAATCCTTTAATCTGTAAAATCTGTAAAAGCAGAATGCTGTCATAATTGTACATCATGAACTAAAATATTACTACTTTTTATAGCTTCTTACTGAACAAAGTTCGTACCTGCAGTTTGTAAAGATTATTAAAGACGGACATCTGCAAGATCAAAATGGGGGCTTCCACATGCACGGGGCTTTACACAGTATCACCAAAATGATGCCATTTTGGCATTTGGCCAATGAGATTAACAAGGTAACTGCCAGATAAAGTCTTTATCTGACTGTTGAATGTTGTTGGCAATCAGGGCAATGGAGAGTTTAAAAAAAAAAGGACCCATTTTGAAGTTTTAACTTGAAGACCCAAATTTTCTTTTCTTAAAATTGTCTCCATTATATAGTAACTCAGAACTACATAGTGTCGTATGGACAGGAGGTTTCCCACGCTGTGATAATACTTGTGATGACCAAATAAATATTTAATCCATACATTTCTATACTTTATTATGAAATTATTAATCTCTGCAAACTGTTTGTGGGAAACATTTCAAAGTGCAAAATCGAACAAGAAACACAACTTTTACGTTTCCTACTTTACCCACCGATGGTTTGCATTTAAGATATTTTTTAATATTACTTCTATTCATTCAGATTTGATGCTCAAAAGACGACAGCAAAATGTAACACTACTACTTGATTTTGCCTTGTTCAATCCTAATCTCGCATTCAGAGCGCTATCAACATTTATGAAGTATTTAGGTTAAACATGTATATTCAGCGGCAGCGTACTAACACTCTGCAGTTTTGATGGTCCAGATTGTACAGATTAACTCGCATGAAGGGGCCAGACAGATGTTTTGTGACTGGCAGCGCCCTCTGTTGGCCAGATGTCTGAATACCATCTGACTTTACTATTTCTTTTACTAAGAGGTTATTGTCAGTTACTCTGTTTTTGTCACCAACTAACCCTCCTCTAACAACACAAGTTTATCACTTCACTTTAACAGCACAGTGTAGTACATCAAATATAGATCATAAAAATCTACATTTGCATTAAAATGATTAATATGTGAATGTTTGTTTTCCTCACTTCGACCGTTGTCAAATATTGTAAAATTAAATTGATTAATGCACGAAAAAAGGAAGGATGTGCAAATTGTGATGATCATGTATCAATCTGTCTTCAGAAAATGTGATCTAATCTTTTTGTGCCTGACTCACAGGGCCAGAGCTCAGGTGAGGCCATCATCAGTGCAAAATCCATCACCTTCATCACCCTAGCAGCCGTCTCCGTCCTCCTCCTCCTCTTCAGTGGCCTCGGCTTCCTGATGTGGCGCCGCAGGCACGGCTTCGGCCTGAACAGCAAACTGGGGTTGGCCAACGTGATCGCCCTGGAGGACCTGCAGGATCCGGAGAGGAACTGCGAGCTGCTGTCCTCCATCCGACGCCAGACCAGCAGACGGCAGTCCAGCAGACGGCACCGGCGGCCCAGCTCCAGCTCAGAGCAGGACACGACGGACGGCGTGTTCCTCATGGTCTACCTGCCCTCGCCGTATGAACAGACGCTCACCAGGCTAGCCAGAGCCGCCAGCACGAGCAGCTCCAGGGACTTGGAGCTGCTTCCGCCAAGTCCTGGACCAGAGACGGGCGGCACAGATCACGAAGACGGGATGAGGCTGAACGACCAGGCGACCCTTGAGGAAGAAAACAAGGACTGAATCACGGCAGGATACAAAAGAGAGAAGAGGATGGAGTATGACAACACGTCCACTGATTTCCTGTTGAGGAAAACATCATCAAACCTTTCTACCGAACAAGACTGAGCATCAACGTAGATCTTGAGTTAGAAGAAGAGATCGCCATCACACGGCCCTGACCTGCTGCACCAACACCTCTTTTGTAGATCTGTATAGATTTTTAGATGTGGTTTGGTTGACTGGGATCGAGACCGCAAAGTCTGTCTTCAAACCTCCCTTTGGATGATATGTCCTCCGTGATTCTCCCACTAACGGACAAGCTCATGCTGCTGAACACTCATGACTTTGATACAGAATGACTGGTTTTATTTTTTTAGGCGTCCCTCTCTTGATAACTGTGGACTTTCACAGGAATCAAACCTCCTGATATTTCAGATACAAGACAGTTTGCTAAGACCCCCGTCTGTACTCTGCTGCCCCTGTACAGTATAGAAATGACTGAAGAAGGTGCAGAATCGACTGAGTGCTTTCAACATAAGTTTTTACAGTATTCCTCATACATAACCTGGAAAGGCAAGGGTTGTAAAAATGTACATCTGGATTGAAATCATTCTATTTTCTACTCTTACTATGTGTATTTTATTTGTAACACAAGCTGTAGCATCCTTTTAGAGATGTATTTTGTAATATTGATACTGACCTCTGGATACAATGACTGACAATAAAGTGAAGGAGAAAGTGGAGCAGTTAGTTGTTCTACGGTGTCTTTGCAGTATTTCATCTCACACGTCACCAAAAAAAAAAAAAAAAAAAAAAAAAGCATTGTTCAAACACTTCAAAACAACTGCTTTGTCCAACATCTGCATCGGCTATCAGCTAGATAGCAACAACCGCTACCGATCTGTCGATAAACGGTTAGCTTTTGATTAAACGCGGTTACTCTAAAATGCACGTAAATATAGATTTGATAGAAATATAGATCTCAACCTCATTGATAAGTGACATTTTAAAATCATCCACTTAACATCAACACAGCTTGCTAAGCATCAGTTTGATTTCAAACCTTTTTTTTTTTTGGTAATACTACGTTACCTGTATAAAACAGATACTGAGAGGGAAATAATATTGCTTTTAATTACCGTCTAATTTATAGATGCACAACCGGATCAATGCAGATGAAGCAGGACTTCTTGTTGACGTGTAGCCACATGTCCTTCTGAAAAAGTCCCTTCACAGAATGCCAGTATTCTCTATGCAACACAACTTTCCCAAAATACTGTAGTGTACTGTTATTTAAAACATATAGGATACTGTTTAGTGTCTCTGTGCTGTTGCTTCAAATGGAACAGCCCACAATGCATTGCTAACTACAGTACAAAACCGTATTACACAAATACTGTAGATTAATGGTGAAAATTGGCTGTAAAATAACATTTGTGTGCAGTGTAGGAGCTGCTTCAAAGGTTGTCAATCAGTGGCTGAAAATGCGTCTGCACTTGTTGGTTGGTATGAATAGTTTTCTGCAGAAAAAAATGCATCTGCTGCAGCCACACCTATTACACACGCATTACACATTACACATTCAGGTTTAACCAGTTCACTGCCAAACAAAATACGTATGCCTGGCTGCTCATTATACTCTGTGCTGCAGCACATGCTGCTCAGGAGGGTAGCATGGCTCTCAACGTCCCGGGACTCGTAGCCACCATCATATTCTACCTGTTGGTGCTCGGTATCGGCATCTGGGCTTCCATCAAATCCAAAAGGGATGAAAACGGGACGCAGGCGAACCATGCAGACATGGCTCTGCTGGGCAACAGGAACATCAATTTGGTCATGGGAATCTTCACCACAACCGGTGAGTTTCTTTGTGCTGCAGCTGCAGCAGCTGTAACCTGCAGGTTCATAGACTGTTAAAAAAACACAAAAAACTGCATTTTAATTGTATGATTTCTTTTAACATTTACCATATGGTAAATTGTGCTTAAAGGTGCAGTGTGTAGCATTTTGAGCTGACTTTATTGCAGGTTAACACTTGGCTTTGTCTGAACACTGTGCACACCGCTCTATATCACTGCGGTTAGGTCAGCAGACACTCGCATCTCCGTGGTCAACCCAGCAGACACTTAAATTTCAGTGCGCCCTTATGCTGAAATTCACGGTAAACGCATTCAAACGGCACAGATCGGGAGCGAGCGAAGGACTTTGCAAAGTTAGCGGAAAGATTAACGTGAGACAACATCCGGTTTTCAAAATAGGATGTCAACTAAGCGTATACAAATTGTATTTGTGGAAATAAGATTAAATGAATTACATCAACATGAAGTATAAAACATGTTGCCTACATCTCGTGAGTTAAATGGAAAATACAACTAAATTGTGTCTTTATTCTTTGATTTGAGGGTTGCTGGAAAAATAATGGAATTAATAATATCTGACTTACTGATATGTATGTGTTCAGGACATTTCTGACCACATCCAAACAAAAATCAAACATGTTAACTGTACCAATTAAGATATTTTATGAAGTACAAACTGAACTGAAATTGCACCTTCAAATAGCTAATTTCTGAAATGTTTATGGTGCTATGAAAATATTCTTGTCAATAATTCCAGGCAATGACTGATGTATATGTGTTCAAGACATTGTTGACTCGTACCACAGAGAAAATCAGACATTTTTATTGTACCAATTAAGAAATATTTCACTACAGAACATTTCAAAATTAAAGCCCTTCAAAATCTCATTCTTGAGCTAACTTCAAATCACATTCATGAGACAATTTGTCTAATTTCAGATTACATTTTAGAGGAAATGGTGCATAGTTACAAAATAATTTCACTACAGATTAATAGCAGACCACCTCAAGGTGTCACTCAGAGAGAACCAGGACATTCTAATCTAGCATTTCAAAATTAAAGCCCTTCAAAATCTCATTCATGAGCCAACTTCAAATCATCTAATAACTGAATATTTGAAGTGTTATAAAAAGTATTTTCTCAATAATTCCAGACAGTGACTGATGTACAGTATATGTAATCAGGGCATTGTTGACTCCACCCATACTGAAAATCTGACATTTTCAATATCAATATTTCCTTTGTGCAATAATGTAGATTCAACGGTTTGGTTATATTTAGCTTTTCAACAGATTTAATAATCTATCATAGGCCTTTGTATCATAGACAGTTTGCTATATTTACTGTTCATTTTATTTTCGTATTCTTTTTTACATAATATGAAATGAAATGTAAGGAATGTCTATTCATATTCCTCAACGTGAATCCCATTACTCTATGACAGTATGTGTGTAATTGTTAAACCTGTGGGACATAAGGATATCGTTTGTTTTCAGGGACGGCCGAACGGTGCTTCGCTTTTAATGTTGCCGCTGCAAGGAATTGTGGGGTGGAATTCTCTACTTTCCTTTATTAAAGGAAGGCCCCGTGTTTCCTATGCTAAAGGAGCTAATAAAGGAAGCATTAAAGCACCTTTCCTTAGCATTTAGAGAATTCAAACAGCTCCTATCATGGCGGCCACTTAGAGACGTCCGGGTCATTTCACTCAGTTAGGAACCTTCCTAAGCAAAAAGGACTCTTCGACCTCAGCCGTTGCAGTTTTTCTGTTTTCGTGTCGGCCACCGTAGTTCTCAGGAGAAAGAGTCTGTATACAGCGCACCAGGCTTTCAACTCCACTGAAAACCCACCGTGTCGTTATTTAGAGTGAGAGAGTCCACACAGGACAGGAAAGAGGGAGGTGGAAGGGCCAAACAAAAACATGACTTTTGCCAAGGAGGCCGCTGTTTGTGTCTCCTGCAAAACAAAATGTGAACCTTGACGTTTTGAGCAAAGTTTATTTTAAAGAGACTCGATGAAAATACTGACGCGAGAGGGATCCGTAGAGCGTCAAGGTTTGAAGCTTAAAGTTAATTATTCCTTGATATGAAAGGTTGAGGGAAGTTTGAGGTCAGACTAACTATTCATCCAATGTTTGCTCCGTGCATAAGACTGAAGACAGAAATCAGTTAACACACAACAATCCTCTTGATGTTTGCAAGGACGACTGGAATAACAACTTGTAAGACATTTGAAGAATGTGAAAAGGAACTGTGTGTGTGTGTGTGTGTGTGTGTGTGTGTGTGTGTTATGCAGCTACCTGGGTTGGAGGGACCTTCATCATCGGCACAGCTGAGACAGTGTACAATCCAAAGTTTGGGCTGATTTGGGCTGTGATGCCTTTGGCAGCAACGTTGGCCTTCATTGTTGGTAAGATTCCCTTTTACAACTCGTGGTTTTGAAGTTTTCACTTTAACTTTCACTTCAACAAACAGTTCACCTGCTTTCGTTGCTCACTAAATGACACTTCAACTCCTCTAAAAGTTACTGTTCACCTGATCTTACATTCTTTCTACGGTTCCACTTGATTTGACATCTTATCTTTAAATGCTTTAACTTCCGTTGTTACTTATAATTTTAAAAGGTTTGGAAGTTTCAAATCAACATTTTTAAACCGTTAAGCTGTTTCCATTTGCAAAGGGAGTATCTTATTTAAATCAGGACAGCATGTTGCGCATCAACATATATTTCATGACACACACATTTTAAATTGACACTTTTTTTTACTGTGCTTTACTTTTTGGGTTGCATCAATTTCCTAGAAAACTGTGACGCTGAAAATGTAATTCTCTAATTTATCTTGGATCCGATGACGAAGTAATCACTCAATCAGGCCACAAGTCAAGCGTGTTGTTCAGACAAGTAAAACAAATCTACAACTTATATAGTAAGTGTCGTAGGAATTGCAGGTTTAGACATAAACGCAGATAAAGTGAGGAGGAGGCAACATGGAGACTTTCAATTTTTTAACGAATATGACTTATAGCTGAGAGTCCAAAAACAAGCAGGTAACAGAAGTAAATCAAAAAACATCTGGAATGCTAAACACTGGAACTAAACACTAGAAACTAAGGCTGGGACGTTGATACAAGCTAGGCAAGGGTACAAGGGTACAAGAGTACAAGGGTACACACATTTCTTTGCTGGTTAAAAAAAAGTCAGAAGAAGAAGAATTTGATCATTTGAACAAAGCAGAAAACTTTATGGTCCATTTTTGGCCAGATTATTAAGAAATCCCATCTGTGCCCATTATTTAAAATATATTTCTCTTCTTAACAAATATCACTTTGGTTTAGAAACACTCCTCGCTGTGTTCTATCCCACGTAAGAATCCTGTTTTAAACAGGAAATCCATCACATTAACGATCACAAGTGACCCAAGCAGCCTCTAAACCCCCAAAAGCAATGGCAGACTGAGGGTTTTATGTGCGTTAGTTTGAAAGAATAGGATAGATAAAAACATAGATGACAATAAAGGAAGTGGAATCAGAACTGCAACTCTCCTGCTGTTGTTTTCAAGGTGGTGTTTTCTTTGCTGAGCCCATGAGAGACAGGAAGTACGTGACCATGATGGACCCTTTCCAGATCAAGTACGGAAACGAACTGAGTGGACTTTTTTCTATTGCGCCACTGATGTCGGAAATCATTTGGGTGACATCAACACTGATAAGCTTGGGTAACAATTTATCAAACTACATATACGTATGTGTGCCCATACTGGGCCTTTACTGTAGTTGTTTGTGTACAGTTGCACCGTTTGTGCTTCCTCAACCAAAATGTTGCAGTACCTTTTTCGTTTTTGTTTGTTTGTGTAATGCCGCAGTGCAATGAATGAATTGTTGCTGATCTTTGCTATGTTGGCGAGTTTTATTTTGTGCGTGTGCTATTTGTGTATTTAAGTGTGCATGGAAACTGCATGTGTGCTTCATAGGAGTAACCATGAGCGTGATCCTGGATTTGTCCTACGCTGTGGGCATCTGGATTTCTGCTGCTGTGGCTGTCACCTACACCCTGCTGGGAGGTCTCTACTCTGTGGCCTACACAGACGTCATACAGCTCACTCTCATTTTTGTCACCTCGGTAATTTGTCCAATCACATTCGTTTCGGATTCCAATGGATTCCAACGGTGACACGTTTTCACGTCAAAACACGATCCTTTTCTCTGCCATTTGATCTGCATGTCCCAATCATCATTACCTGCTGAACTAGCATTGTCGTTGTGAGCAGGTTAGCATGCTGACACTAAGCTCTAAGCTCCATTATACCCATGTGCAGCATCATAGAGCTGCTAGCATGGTGCCGGACTGAGCTATCCATTTTTAAGGACAGCAATGTAATTGGTTAAAAAAAAAAACGGCGTCGTTTCTTTGTCATTTTTTGTATGCGTGTTGTCGAGCAATGTTCCCTGAAGTCGGTGTATTATAGGGGCACTTTTAAAATTTAGAATTGCCCATCTGTAAAGACTGATGAGAAGTGTTATAAAATGATATATCCTTACTTTTATTCCTTTGTATGGGTAAAGCTCCAAAAATCCTGGATCCTACATTTCCCATATTGCAAATCAATAGCATCATTTATTATACCCTCCCTGCCTTCTAAACGCCCATTTCTCTAAAAACTCACACCTCCAGTTTGTAAAACAGGCTTTCTGTTGAAGATGTATGTCCCAAGGCCAGGCTGACATAACTCTATGACATCATCCGGGGTTATTTGCTCAGACTTTAGAAATCTTCCTCCGGAGCCACGGGACATTATACGTCTCTTTTCACAGGCTGAGTATCTGTGAGGATTAAACTAACTTTCATGTGTAAGATTGGTAACATTCTGTATTTTTTAGTTCATCCCCAGTTGTATGAGAAAGAGGAGGACCATGGAAACTCAACTGATATATGTGTATTGATGGTGTACTTCTCTCTCCTCAGTGGCTGTGCGTCCCCTTCATCCTCATGAGTCCCACCTCCGTCGCCATCACCACCACATCTTTCAACCACACCTTTCAGGCCCCCTGGGTTAGCACTCTGACTGCAGACAGAGCCTGGTTGTGGATCGATATCTTTTTGCTTCTGGTACGGCAATGAAAAGCATTTGAGAATAATGCATGATTGTTACAATCAAAGGAAGAGCTCGATTTCAGGTGGTATGTGCAGCAGTAGAAACAGGTGTCTCACAAAATGACATGAAAGTGTCAAGCGGGGGCGTACGAGTGAATAGTTCAGTTATTTATTGGTGAAAAGATGATGCATAATCTTACAGGTAAGGGTGGCGAGTCCAAAGAGGCAGGCAGTTGCAGTAAAATGATATTTGTTAGAACTGTTCAGAACTATTATTGTAATTACCAATCTTGGTGTGGTTTGTAATCGCAGTGTTAGCTTGCAGTGTTCCTCTTCTCAGTATTTTCTGTGGACTTGTTTTCAAATTGATTTTAAGTGAATTGATTTGCTACCATTGGCAGTGTGGTCTGCATAGTGTGGAGCAACTTTAGAGGCTGGAAAACTTGACTGTATTTAACGAGAGACGGTGGTTTGCATGTGTAAATGTGGAGCAACTGGAAGAAAAGGTCAGACGTATTTAGCTTTTTACACGTGTCACCTGAGTTTGTAACACCACTGTGTAACTTAAAGTCCAACATCATTTTTTTTATCCATGGCCGCATACATATCTGCCCTTTAGATCACATACCTGTCTGAAACCAAAATCGAGGAATAGATGCTTTTTTTGGTTTCATGATGGCTCTCCGATTTTTGCATTTATTTGTCAGAAAATACCTTTTCCATTGCAGACATTTTGACTTATAAGCAAAAACAGCACAGAAGTGGCTGACTTAATGTGGACTAACTGTACCTCTATTGTGATATTTGTCCCTCCCTCAAAGAGCATAGGGGACCTCGGTTTCCAGGATTTCCACCAGAGGACATTGTCAGCTTCTTCATCAGCCACAGCTAAGTTGCGATGTTACGCTGCAGCATTTCTCATCCCCACGTTTGGAATTCCTCCTGTGCTCATCGGGGCAGTGGCAGCATCAACAGGTAGATTAGTTGTGTTGAATATCTTTCAACTTGAAATTAAACTTGTTTTGTATTTTTATCCAAAGTTGACCACATGAAAAGAGGTGGAGCTAGTACATTGAGCGTGTGGCTGTCGCCATCATCATATCCGTTATATCCTCTTTCAACATGGTATTATTTTACAGTAACTACACCTGACACACCAAACGTATCAGTTTGACTGATTCATCCTGTCCCTCCGCTGTTTCCTAGACTGGAACCTAACCTCGTATGGGTCTCCGTCTCCGTTCGAACGAGGTCAGACAGGTTTGATTTTACCCCTCTCCCTGCAGCACCTAACTCCGCCCTACATCTCCGTCATCGGCATCGGAGCTGTGGCTGCCGCCGTGATGTCATCGACTGACTCCGCCCTGCTGTCTGCAGCCTCCATCTTCTCCTCGAATATCTACAAGAAGATCCTGAGGACCAAGGTGAAGGTGGAGAGAGGAGGGGTGAAAGGTCACCTGATGGATGATCAGAGCAGTGCACCAACGGCCATTTGCACTGTCAGGTGTAGAACCATTAATCCGTCATTGAACAGATGGAAGCGTTGCTGTCAGTCTCAGTTTGTTTAGAATTTGAACTCCTTTTTAAACAAGCAGCGTGAGTAAAAACAGTTCAAAAAGGGATTTAGGAACTGTTTGTCAAAACTGGCATTTCTTGAAAATGGATGAAATAAACACACACATTGAAGAGAAATTGGAATCACAATCCAAATTTTCATGAGATCTCACTGTGGTAACAACACATAAAGTTCAGACTGCTAGCATATAGTGGTTGTCTTTTTTAAATGAAGCAGCAAAGTAAGAGAAAGATGCTCCTGTTAAAGGCGCTCAGGGTTTTTGCATGATTATGCACTTACCTTGAACAAACAAGAACTACTTCTGTCTAGGGAGTCAATCAGAGAGGTTTGGAAAGATATAAAAACTAATTTCTCAGTCTATTGCTGCTAACCTTACTGTTTTTCCTCTTTCTATTTCTTTTCATCGTAGGCATCCGACAATGAGATGCGGTGGGTGATTCGTATTTCTGTGGTTGTATTCGGCCTGGCCGGCACATCGCTCACTTTCCTGCACACGGGTGTCATAGCTTTCTGGATCCTGGGTGGAGAAATCGCCTACATCATGATGTTCCCGCAGTTGGTCTGCGTGCTTTTCCTCGACATATCCAACGGTTACGGTGCCACTGTGGGCTTCCTGGTGGGGTTCCTTCTGAGGGCTTTGTGTGGAGAGCCCCTGCTACGGCTACCACCAGCCATCCATTTCCCAGGATGCACCCTTGAAGACGGTGTTTACGTTCAGTATTCCCCCATCAGGACCATCTGTATGCTGGTTGCTTTTGCCACCATATTGCTGGTCTCCTACCTGACGGCTCTGCTCTTCAACAAGGGACTCATACCAGAGAAGTGGGACGTGTTTCAAGTTAAAGTCCAACGGCCACCACAAACACACACACCAGCAGATGGGGCAAGCAGCAAAGAAAACCACAACTCGCAGCCTCTGTGTGAGGATGGTGAAGTCTCTGATCCAATGTTGGAGTCGAATTGTTGAAATTCTAAACTACATCATACTGTAACAATGCGGTATGACCTCTTCTAACAAAATACTGTGTAGCTCGTTTTTTATTCATTAATACGAGTGAGAAATCCGTCAGTGAGGAAGAACAAAATGTAACGTGAAAGAGGAGCACAAAGGGTGGGGGCCGATGGCCAAGGTTACAGACATTTTGCTCTCAGACATTTAAATAATCAATTTACTTTGGACTACATTAAGCATTCTCTTTTGCACATAAGAAACTCAATGCCGTGCACTCACTCTTAATTTAATATAGCCTCACTGTAACGGAAATTTACACATCTTTTCAACTGCAAATCATTAACACGCATCTTCATTTTCACTGTGCAGTTACTTCTACAATTCTGCAATTTTATCACAAAAAAACCTGCTTTAAAACCCCAATAACAGAGTTGCACACCACTGTTTCCCTGGAACATACTAACCGTGTCCTCAAAAACAGATCAGCCCATACATGTATTGCGTAAATGTAACACTTTGTGTGGCAGGAAACATCTGGTTGATAAACCCAGTGAGTAAAAGTCTTCAGTTCCACGAAGTGTTCAGTGTGGGTATTTGTCTGGTGTAATCGTGCAGGAAATAGAAACTACTGAAGAAATGATTTGGCACTAATAAATGTGACGTTTATTCACAACAGTTGATACATGTACAGTTTATGTTTAGTGTGTTTTACGCTGCTGTTACATAAGACTAGTAGTAGAAAGGTATGTCGTTCATGCAGAAGTTGGGCTGCAGGCTCTCGTAGGTGCAGTCGGACGTGTCCATGGCACAGCGGCCGCAGCCGCAGCTCAAAGCCACCGGGTAGGTGACGGTCGGGTCCACGCCGGGACGACAGTCGGGAAGCTCAAATGTCTTGTAGTATAAGTCCCGGTACGTGCACACATGCTGGTACACGTTGCTGAATGGTATCTGGATGACGGGGTCCTGGTGGGGACAAACATAGCAAGGTGTGTTCAACAGTGCTATCAACCATCACATCATAAGAGGGGTGAGGAACACTGGTCTAAGACAGCACAGCTCATGTCACAATGAAGAGACTTTGGAAGAAATCTACTGAATTTGTGTAACTCAACTTTGTTTAACTGTCATGGTAAATTCAAATAAACTTTGGAATGTGTAATGACTCGAGGAAACGGGACAGACCGTTTCAATGTTCATATGAGCGCCTGACTATTTCTTTAAGAGAGACTCTATAATATGTGAAGCTGTCCTTTACCCTGCATCAAAGTAGAGTTTCCAGAGTGTTGCAGCAACAGTCAGTCAGTTCAGATGGGCGAGGTCATGCTCCAGACAAAGTAGCATGATCAGTGGGGAAAAAACTTGATGACTCCATGAACTTGTGACTACTAGCATGGTGTCATTTCCTCTTACATGACGCAGACATGCACATTGTTTAAATCTTCGGGCATGTAGCAAAGAGAAAGTCTTATCGGCTACAGAGACGATATACGTACATCTTATTTTTCCTTTGCCTTAATACTATATTTAATTCTTTATTTCATTATGTCTGGAGTATAGTAAAAGCATATGCCATCTAATTACCTTTGCACTACCATCCATTGATATTGAATGAATTAAACTGAGAGACGGTCACATGTTGCTTTATTGTTCAGGTCATTAATGTGCTTACTTTGACATTTGGAAGACAAAGAGGAGATTGTGGTTGCTGTGAAGCAAGAATATCAGCGTGTATATGAAAACTTAGACCTGGCATTTATTATTATAAACCTTTTCTAACCTTTAAATCTTTGTTTTAGTTCATTTGTTTCTTGCCTTTTTAATTCCTAAGACTTGCATATTTATTATTCACTTTCATGTCATCTTAAATGTTGTGTGCATCAGTCTCTACTGTTTCATTTACGTCAGTGAAATGTGAGTAACATCTTTAAACAGAGAGAGTTACTGCTCCGAGACTCTTTCCCACACTACCCACAATACCTTGGTGATGCAGTGGCCGCTGCAGATGGTTGTTTCCACTGGGTGGCACTTGGGACAGCCCTCCTTCTCAAGAGACACCGTCTGGTTGATGGGCTGGCAGGACGGCAGTTGGAAGGCCGCTAGCGATGGGAAATGTTGCAATTTGGTACAAATATGCCACATACCGCAACTTCTTTTTGATTTCTCACGAGAGGAGAAGGGAACCATTAGTGCCCCTGCCATCACATTAGTGGTGATGGAATTGCTTGTTCTACATTACTCTTTGCATGTGTAATATTCACAGTTCCTGTTAAACAAAACACACTTCTTTTTTTGTCATTACATGCCACTTCCACTTTGATGTGACGATAAACTCATGTCTATTATGTACTATTATGCCATATCAAAACTCCCACATTTGCTTAGACTTTCACTTCACTCTCTCTATCTTACACCTGTATCAAGTGAACAGTATTCACCTCACTTACTAAATGCCTCTATTCAATGCTTAACCATGAATATAGGTGGATCTTCATGTTTCGGGGGACTGAAAGTCAAAAACATCTACAGAATTTGACTATGAAAGACTGCTTTCCTCAGAAATGACAGAGTGCAACACATTATGGGATAAAGTGGATGTATGGAAGTTGATTAAAGCACACAAAATCAAACTGACACATACTGTAATAAATATCTACAAATATGGCTGAGAGGGCTAAAGCCGTGGACTCAACAAAGGATACACAACAAAAGATAAAGCTTTAAAGTTATTCTAGTGGATGTACAATATTACATTTTTAGAACCTGTTGTCGAGTTATCGTAATATGTGGCTTACTTGTCTTTGTTACATAAATGTAATATTATGAATCATTGTAGTCTAATGTAAGAGAAGGTGTCAGAGATCTTCATGTGGGAGGAGGATAGCTCCGTCAGTGTTGTTCGAATTAGTCACCAAAAGATGTTGATAAAGGTCAAAGATTGGAAGTCAAAACTACAACAAAACCTGCCTTTCAGGTTGTTTTTTTAGTTTACTATATAAATTATACTTTTTGGAACTCAGCTGTTTCCTGACCCACTAATATTCCCGAACCTTTGTCTGTCTGCTGCTTGTCCCATGTTGTCTTGTCGCTGCTGTTTTGCCCGTTCGTCTCACTGCTTGTGTTTGCTGCTCATGTTCTTTTGTTTTTTGTTGTTGTTGTAATGCCTGATTCTGTTGTCTGCCTGATGTTTGTGTGCTAAACTGCATCCGATTTATGTTTTGCTTTCCTTGTTGCCACATGTAATTTCTTTTTTTAGCCCCTTCTCCAACAAATAGTTTTGCCTTTTTTCCAGGCCGCTGTTGTAAATGATAATGTGTTCTTCATGAGTTACCTGGTTAAATATAAGTTAAAAAAAAAAATTTTAATTCATTAAAAAAGTACTGAAAGCTGTCTGTTTTAAATTACCTGCAGCCAGGGGCCAAATGTTAGATGAGGCTGCCAGAAACAAACTCAACATCAAGGGGAACATCACTCTTCTGACCTGTACAGCCATCATCCTGCAGGAGGCAAAGTGGGTTGGTCAGTCAGTTAATAACATACTTACAAGGATAACTTCAGGCTCCATGGCTTCTCGTAAAGAGTAAAAACGCACAACTTGGCAACCCATCCATAAAACATCAATACATTATCAATGTATCATTAATAATGGTGTCAACCTATAAACAACCTATACACTCTTTAAAGTAGGCCTACGCCTCACTGTAAATCGGTACTTGCTGTTTTATCTTTGATATTTTCAGACCTCAGCTGTTCATTTTATTTTAAAAAGCACTGTTTTGGTACAGTTAACAGTATTCATTTAAGCTTATTCTACAACACTTTAGCCACACCAAAACATACTAAAAGATAACATAGCTAAATCGCCTGGTGGTTGTTGGTGTAAATCAGCCTGACTTACCTCTCAGGTGTCTGCAGGCAGTGTGCTGAGGCCGGGTGTGCTGCTCAGTCTTTATACAGCACAGAGGTGCCTGGTATCCAGGATGAAACCTGCTCATATAACCCTGGTTACCTGTTTTTGTTAAAGAGGGGCACGTAGTACAGTTTTAATCTTGTTTTAACCTGGGGATTAGACTCTCTCCGTATCACTTTTACATCCTTTACACACATAAAAGCTGCAGAATTATATAGTATTAGAGGGTGGGTAGGTTCAGTGCCTTGCTCAAGGCCACCGTGAAAGAGGGAGGAAGCTTTATCACCTGAAGCTAAACAATAAAGTTTAAAATTCGAATCAGAACCAACAAGGGGTTCATAAATACAATGAATGTTAAGGTGACTGTTTCAATAGATAATTAGTAGGTCCACTATAACATGTTATTTTCTTTCATATATATAATATGTAATAATACTGACAAATAAAGTTGACTGTTATGTGAGATTTGCATCCAGGTCTTAGACCATGTTAATTTATGTGAAGCATGTAATGCCTACATTTATTATATGACATCTATATTTTTTTATTGTAATAGGGGATTATTCATCAGTGCTTCGTTGATCTGAAGCTTTTTTTTTGATCCATCTTTGTTTAATTACCGGTATAGATAAATAATAAGTGTCTTTATGGGCCAAAGGGTAAGACAGTGAGAACTGCTTTTGCTCAGTATCGTTCACAAGATATACACAGAAATGTATACTGTAATACACATGTTTGTTAGATCCCACTGATAATGACGCACAGTTAGAGTGTTTAAATGGATGTGAAAGTGTTTCCCATGTGGTTTAGCGCTCAGGATACCTGGTTTTCACCCAGGTGCCTTATGACTTAAACTCAGTTGCTCTCCTAAATGGAAACGGCTCCTTGGACAATGGAACATCCAATGATGTGTTGGCTTTTAAAAAAGGTATTTAAAATTCCAGTTTGAATCTATATCCGACAGACTGCTAAAAGCTATTATTGTATGTCAGAAGAGCCGGTTGTAAAAATATGTATGTGTGGCCAAGAATTCCACCTTGACCGTAGAGCAGGATGAGGACTGACAGGAAGCAATCTGCTGCTGCCGGTGAAATAATCCTGTTTTATCAGTGTGGGATCACTGTGACACGTTGACTTCCTCCTGACATGGATCATTTATGACGTTGATGGTTTTAATGGGTTAAGATAACACAGTATGATTTTTTTTTTTTTTCCGAGTGGGACAATTGAGAAGACATCCGAAATTCAAGCACAGGATTGTGTTTCAGTAACTGCTTATTTTTCCTCCTCTTTTGACTGGATACCAGTGTAACACTAGATAGACCCAACAGGGGACATTTGGGTTGCAGAAGGAAAGAAACACATTTAGCAGCACAGCTTGTATTTAGAATATAAAATAAATTGTTAAATGTTACTTTTTTATTTTTTTTATCCTGGGTATTTTATTATTTGGTGTATTATTAAGTACATATAAAACATTACTATATGTAAAAGACCCACTTATGTTGCAGAATTTGCAGTTGCATACATGCAGTTTTATTAGCAAAGGACATACATTTGATGTAATTATATTATAGTAAGGCCTTTTCTTCTTCTTTTTTTTGGTGCAACATGTCAACAAAATTTAATTGCATTATGTAATTGCAAATAAGAAAAAAATAAAGAAATATGCACGAAAAAACAAATAGGAAAAAAAGGGGAAATTACAAAGTACACAAACATTATATTGCCATCCAGCAAACATAATCCTTTAACTATTTTACATATTTATAGATTTCTTTTTTTTCAAAATATGAAAAGTTTAGACAAACCTTTAAAATCCTAATATATGTACATTATATATAGCCTCGAATTTACCTCCTTATCACCATTTAACCATTTAAAGGTTACACCGGAACTCTACATCAGTTTGCTCGTTTTGAGTCGGCGATTAATAGCGGATGGACCCATTCAGTAGGGTCAGCGCATGCGCGGAAAGCAATATGGTTATTGCTCATTACATGACGGTTTTTCTCGAGATATATTGAGTGTAAACCTTGCACAAGGAGACAAACACTGAGGAACAATGACAGAAGAAGAGCAGGAGAGCAAGACGAAGGTTGGCGTCTCTTTTAACTCTAAGCTGTCAGGAAGCATTTTAAACGGCAGAGTGGTTTTTAGAAGGTCAACCAAAGCGGTTAACGTGCAGAAACGGTTGACTTGACTCGCGACGTTCTCTTAAGTTACTCATGGTGAAGCAGAATTCAAAGGCTTTGTTATTGTTATGCACATTGATATACCATCAATGCATGTCCAGTCAATAGAAACAAACATTGCCTTGTCTCCTCTCTGGACAACATACACACAAAGTGTAACAAAGGGCCCACAGGATAGACACAACGTATACTTATATAACCTATAAAACAATGTCATATCAGTGCATGTGTAAAATGACTGTGGATACAGATAATAGCGTCGGTAACAATTGATCATTCGACTCTCATTACACAAGTATGAAATCCCAGTAGGTATCAATATCACTTAATTAAGAGTAAATAAGTCACATTTAAGGTCTACTGCTGTCTCTTTTTCCTTCAGGGTTTCAGGCTGCTGGGGATTCTGGATGTCCAGAACACTCCGTGTGCCAGAGACGCCATCCTGCATGGAGCCGGGGGCTCGCTAGGTGCTGGCCTGCTGCACTTTCTGGCCACAAGTGAGTCTCATACGAGTCTGGACTGTGTGTGTGTCTGTGTGTATTTTCTTTGCTCATTTAGCGATTGTTTAACTTACCATTTAACTTTTATGTGATTCATTTTTCACATAAAATCTTGAACAACCTGTCCACGTCCAGCCAAAACAGGGTTTTAAAGGAATTAACTAGCTAGTTGATCACTGCAACATCCCCATGAGTGTACAAGTGCACCGTCACCAGTCTGTCCCGTCAAAGACGTGAGAGGGAAAGTACCTCATGCAATAAACTAAGGAGAAGCTCACATGGAAATGTGCCTGTGAAACTTGCTACGACTTAAATATGTGACCTGATCACATGAGGGATTGCACGCTTTGGCAGAAATATATATGATGACAACTCTTGAACTCTCAGCAGCAGTCTCTCCTGTTGTCCGCAGGTCGGGTGAAACGGTCTTTTGACGTGGGCTTTGCAGGATTTATGCTCACTACACTCGGGTCCTGGTAGGTCTTTATGTTGATTGACACTTCGTCTTTTACCCTCTAATCAGAACAAACATTAGTTTACATCTTTCACGTATCTTCCATGAAAGAAACCCTTTACAAACACACAGGAGCTCACTTCTTACTGCAGTTTCCTCTCTATTCAATTCAATTCAGTTCAGTTTTGTGTAACACCAAAACATAACAGAAGTTATCTCAGGGCACTTTTCATATAGTAAAGTTCTCAAATATTTACACGCACCCGACAATTCCCACCATGAGTTAGCACTTGGTGACAGTGTGGTGGAAAAATACTCTCCTGAGCTATAAGCCAGGAGAGTATCTAGTTACTTCTGTTCGTAACAGACACCCCGCCGTGTGTCCTTCCCCAGGTTCTACTGCAGGATGAACAACGCCAAGTTTCGTGTGCAGCAGAGGATGGTCCAGGACGGCATCAAGAACAAGGTTGTGTACGAGGGGACCGTTCTAGACCCCAAAAACAAACCTGGAACAGAAACCTCACGGCCCTCATGACCTCCAGCACTGAAGTCCCTCCGCTTCCTCTGGGAGAAGAAGACAGAACACTGTCGGTGTTCTACAAAGACTTAAGAGTTTTTAAAGAAGACTGACTTCGGTTGCACAAGTGATGGACTGAACTAAAATTCTAGTATTTCATGAGTGTGTTTTTTTTTTTTTTGTCTAACAGCTTGAGACCACTATATGTGGACTTGATCCTGAATGTTTAAATTGAATATTTTCTGAACATTGTTCCACCCCTACATTCACCACACAAATGTACCGGTTACATTCTCACTCCCCCAAACCCTCAATGACTCCTGTCTTCTGTCTGAAAGTTTAAATTCACCTCAATATCTTGATTCTTTTATCATGTAGTATTTAAAAGTTGAATGTGTGGAAAATAAATTGCTGGTCAGATTTAAGTAAGAAAAAGAAATGTCTTTCTAGTTATATATATTGTGTTTTAATATTTTCTAGAGTAAAAATAAAAATCTCTCCATCAAAACAGAAAGCAATAGATGAGCTGTGAAAGCGCTCATTAGTTGCTGCCTCATTGAACATGTACAGTCCCGATTTAGAGGATGGAGCAGAGCTGAACGGGGAAAATCAGCCGAGCGTTTTATCCACTAAACAGAGCCGCTGACTCAGTGAAGTTCCCTCAGCAAGACCCTCGACCCCTGCAAGCTCCAGGTAGGGAATCATAACAAAGGCACATCAAAGTTTTTATAATGATTCTCTGAATTTCTTAACATGGCTGGGCTACAGAATTTGCAGTGTAAAAGTGTCAAAGTGATTCATGTACACTGTAATGTTATTCTGCGTTCAGTAATGATTTGATTGTGATGTTAAAGATCCAGGAGTATAAACTGATATTAGCAATGTGTCTACTAAATAATGTCCACTCTTAAACCAGGTTTGGTGCACTGTTGTACCAACAGGTGTCACTGCATCATCACGCCACTAAGTCCTGCACCATGTCTCCCTGTGAGTGTAAGAAAGTGAAATGTTGCAGATGACATCAAGCAAATTACTTCAAGGTGTACATTTAGTACAGAGTAAAAACAAAAGTCAACTTTGTCATGTTTTTTACTGATAGACAAATAGTTTCACTCAAACTTATTTCAATAGTTTCGTCCCCTTTTACAACCAATTTTTATGGCTCAAGTCAAATTCCACACACTTGTCTTGATTCATCTTAAACATAAGAGCAGATTATCCAGAATGATGGAAGCTTTTACAGACGTTACACCTGTTTCAAAAGAAAACGTCGTCAGAATTTGTACAATTCTTATCGTCACTACTTGTTCCGTTTTAACATATAGAAATTTCCATGGGCAAAGTTTTAATTGGAAAGTGCTCCGGTAATTCTTTACATCCCTAACTGATGACACATTTCTAAAACATTTGCAAAAAACATTTACAGGGCTTATTGTTTGCAGTTTAAAATCTTCTTAAATAATATCTCAACCATCATGAAGGACTATAGCTGTCCACTCAACACAAATACAAGCAAATCAATATATTAATGCAGTTGTAATCTGACACACTGTCCTTTCATACGTACATTTCTCATTCTGAACCTAACCCTCATCCACACAACAGAGCCAAGGCACCGTCCTTTTGACAGCAGCACTCGTGCGGTCTTATTATAGAAGACCTTTATCTCCGTCTGTGTTACCGTGTCCTTTGGGACCATTGTTCCACTAGACCTGTTGGCACAAAGACAAGTCGAGAGCGAGATGTCACCTCAGAAAATACCCGCTGATATATTGTTACCTCACTTAGATTGTCACGGGGGGGCTGTACGGACATCTGTCACAGCCCCGACATGCCGCACACTTCCATGTGCAGAGGGGGGGTTATTTTTGTTGTGTCATCACGAGTTTATAGGACACACGTGGATTCAGATAAAGTCGTGTGGACTTCAACATGTAAAGGCTTTAATTCCAAAACGTATTATATGTCCATACAGATTGACATTTTTTTCATTTTATGCATCAGTGTCATAATTACTTCAATATTAACCCATAAAGTGCTTAATTATGCCAGCAGTCAGTACTGAAGTCCGCTGTCAATCACTGTTCGGCTATTGCTTCTTGCTTGTTAACAAATACAAGAACTTCCCTTTAATATTGAAGTTATTTGGTTGATTATTTGAAGTGATCCCTCTGCCGTATAGTGTTTAAAACATCAGTTGTGGTGTAAAAAGACATGTCACATTATAGGTGTCTGTTGTCATAGCCTGACAACAGACCTGAAATAATATTTCAATACGATAAAACTATAAAGTGCACTTGTAAAGAAAATATGGATTCTTTTAAATGTTTCAAATTAACTGATTATATTAAAAACCTCAGGTCAGCGAGGCCCCTTTGCTTCCATATAATCTGCTTTGCTCAGCCCCGAGTAAACCATAATGAAATCGGTCGGCCTTATTGGGTTGTTCAAGCAGCCCTGCTGGTTTCTCTCAGTATTCACTCAGTAGTGGTGAGGTATGTCAGCAGTATTAACCCCGGGTCACGCCTTGCTTTCAATATTAACTATACTTTTCTGTGGAAAGCTATTGTTGTTTTAATGTTAATGCCTGCTGTAAAATCAGGACTTAGACCAAAAGAAGAATTTTGTTGGTTCAAATATAAAATCACCTTTTAAAGCACCGAGGGATTATCTCATGAGCCTAGCGTGCTCAAGCCTGGGGGCCCAACGGGGTCAGTGAGCCTCTGCATTAAGTTAGTTTTATTAATATTTGTCTTTGGAAGGTCATAAAGCTAACTCAAATGCAGTCAAATGCAATTCATGTTTGCTTGTTTTTTGCTGATCTCAGTCCGTGTCTTTTAATATTGAGTACCTGCCAATACCAAACCTGATCTGACATTTCCTCGTATTTTTCGATATTTGTTTCCAACATAATAGAGCTTCAACGTGCAAACTAAGGGTACAATAAGCCCACATCAAAGATTGTATGTTTGACAGCTGCGCAGCTCTGCTCTAAGAAGATTATGGCCTTCCTATTAAATTGTGTGCACCGATAGCATTGTGTGTAATATGCGGGAGCTTTGAGAGGGGCTTAAACAGTCCTTCATCTGCATGAACAAGAAATTAAAGTTCCATCAACAGCAGCGCTTATGGCTAATCTGCAATATGTTGCTCAAAAAGCAGTGAAACAAGTCTTAACATTTTGTTCCTAGTCAGGTAATGGGGGTGGTGTAGTGGTGGTGGTGGTGGGGGGGTTACATGTTTGTGCCCAGAGGTGTATTGTCTATTAATCCATCAATGAAAAATAAAGCTGAGCTCTTATAATAACAAAGAGCAAAGGTGTGATGTTTTTTTCCCCATTGATGTTGTATATAAAAGTATACAAAAAAATCTAAATATATTGTACTGTTAAAATGATGTCATTACACATTGCAAACATTTGTTAATAAACCAGTCCTTACTGATGTATAATGTAAAAAAAATGTATTTAAATGAGGTTTCTTACTTAACATGTTGATTCTAACATAGGCTCACAGGCGTCATTGTTCTCATTTGGTTCTTTCAATTTCTCGTCCTTAGTTTCGGATACGGCGTCAGCTTGTGATTGTTTCGAGTACTGAGCCTTCACATTAAAAACATCCCATCGCTCAGGAATCAGGCCTCTGTTGAAGAGCAGAGACGCCAGGTAGGAGAACAACAGGATGGCCGCCATGGCAGAAAGCATGCAAATGGTCCTGATCGGGGAGTGCTGGATGTAGACGCCATCTACCAGAATGCATCCTGGGAATTTGAGAATAGGTGGTAGCCCAATCAGCGGCTCCCCGCACAACACCCGCAGCAGCATGCCCACCACGCAGCCCAGGACGGCCCCGTAAGCGTTGGAGACGCTGAAGAAGAGGACGCAGACGAGCTGCGGCAGCATGAGGGTGTAGGTGAGGTCGGATCGAAGCATCCAGATCATCAGGACGCTGTTGTCCATGAAGGTGAGAGACGTACCGGCTAGGCCCACAACCACCACCGAGATCCGGATCACCCACTGGATCTCCCTCTCCGATGCCTGGAGGAAAAACAAACAAACAAATGGCCCATTTTTGTGAAAAAAGTAGGTAATTCAGCTTTTCAAATGCACTTCTTTTAATGTGAAAGAGTATAAGGATGTCTGATGTCTCTTTCTCACCTGTGGCCTCAGGATGTTCCTGTAGATGTTGGCGGTGAAGATGGAGGCCGCAGACAGCAAGGCGGAGTCAGTGGATGACATCACAGCGGCGGCCACCGCCCCAATACCGATGATGGAGATGTAGGTTGGGGTGAGGTGCTGCAGCACGATGGGCAGGATGAGTCCCGCCTCCCCACGCTCGTATGGAGACGGAGAACCATAAGAAGTCAAGTTCCAGTCTGAGGAACATGAAGACAGTTTGACGAACAGGCGAGTGGAAAGAGAAAGCCAAACGGACACAAACGCAATCAATTTTAAGTTGAATTCTCTTCAATGTTTTTTATTTTCACATCTTATAAGCTTAATGAGGAAGTGCAACTGAGACACTAGATATTTTTTATTGTTTTGATTTAGATTAGGCTAAAGACTTGAATTGTACAAGGTTTATTTGTAATTTAATTTAGTTCAGCAACATCAGACTTGACTTAAATATTGCTTTCTTAGCTTGTAAAACAAAATCCCAACATTAGAGCCAATGTGAAGTGTCAAATAGAGAGTTTTATTCTCTGCTCCTGAACCGTACTTGTTGATGCAGCCACTGCACCGAGGAGTATGGGAGGGATGCCTAATGTGGGAACGATGAACGCAGCAGCGAAGCAGGTGATCTTGGCTGTAGACGAGGAGGTGGCTGACAGCGTCCTCTGGTGGAAGTTCTGAAGACCCAAGTTCCCCAAACCCTTGAAGGACAAACGAAAGACGAGGTAAGTCATACATTGGATCATAGCGTTACCTTTACCGTTGGTAAAGCAATTCAATGCGTCACCAAACCTACAGGTTCATCTTCACGTGTCGTTATCTATATTCGTGTTATTTTAAAATTTAGAATAATTTCTCTATATTTTTCTTATATCATACAAATGAAGCAAGAGATATGTCCCTTCTGGCCACCGTCTGTGTTTGGATTACAAAACTTAGTCGCAACGGGGAAACTATAGACAGAAGAGTGTTTGATGAAGATGAACAGAAGAGTGTTTGAGGATTCAGGAAGCCCCCCCCCCCCCCCGAAAAAACATGAAACGCAAGGTTTCAGTTTAAAAAAAATAAATCTTTTGGCAGAACAAATGATCAACTCTGTGACCTAAATGTAATAACACATGAGGGGCACAATCCAGAGCTGGAGCTGCTTAATCATCCCTACCTTAAAAAACCTCCACCTCTTGAAGAGCTCTCAGGACTGCTGGGAGGTAAAGTCCTTCAGTCTCCTTCACCCAAGCTTATTAACAGATTTAGCAAGACCTCTTTGCACGGTGTCATGATTATCTGCTAATCTCAGCTGCAAGTTGGTTTTTGAAAATTTAAGCTCGCTGTCAAAGTCCCAACTGCTTCCAGTGGAGGAATTCACATCTCTGCAGGTTCTATTCGCAAAATGAAACCTAAGGAGAATGTTTGTGTAACACCTGCAGTGCATTGCATAAGACACATAACAGTCTTTTGAAAGAAGGGAGATATAATCTTCGAAAAGCATATTTGCATCCAGTCCAGCATGAAACTTGATATGCTGCCCATGATTTAATAAAACAGCGAACCAGAGGACATCCTTGTCGGCATCCTGGAACAAACTTCACCTTAAATAAGCGCCACATTTAACACATATCCAATTTTTCTTGAGAACCCTTTTAGTCTCACCAGAAGTAGAAAGTTATCGATCCACCTCCAGGCTCGGTCTGCCCCCAGAGTACCGACCCATGGAGACTGGAAGGTGGAGTTGTAGGCTGTCTCAGCGATGTCCACCACAGCGGGGCCCATCATAGCGAAGGGAACGCACAGCCACTGAGAAAAAAAAAAAGAGAAGACCTTTAGCAAACTTAATTTCTGTCGCACCATCGAACCCTTTACCTGGACATCATCAGGGCACAATAGCTAAAAACACGAAGAGATTCACTCGCAAATGAGATTGTGTAAAATGAAAACCTTCATTCAGAGCTAGTTAATAGTATAAAATGTAAACTATTAAATGAAAAGGCTAAAGCTACAGTGAAATATTTTAGGAGGTTTAGCCAACAAAACTACTTAGTTAGATGTAGGCAACAAAACTACTTAGTTAG